TTGGTTTACAGTGGTACCTTGGTATGTGTCCTTGATCTGCTGCAGATCCTTGGACTTATATACCAGACAGGACATATATCAAACAGATTTTGCCATAAGAAATAAAGGTTTGATTTGATTTGATTTGATTCAAGAACCGACATCACAGCACCCGGGGCATTTCTATAAGCCCTCCGTCTCCATCTTCAGCAGCCAGCGAAGAGTTCCGATACTAATGGTGCCAGTAGCTTTCTGATTAAATGTCCGTCTTGCCTTTCCTCTGAGCCTTGAGCTTCTGCCAGAACCTCTCGTCACCTCCAACTGCATCAATCTCACCAAACTGTGGTGATCCATCTGCTCCTCCGCATTGTACACGCTCTCCCACAAGGCACTAACCACGTCTGCCCTATCATGTAGCAGTATTCCACCAAGTTGTGCAGAGCCAGCCAGTCTGTCCGCCTGTTCATTTCCCAACACACCGGTGTGACCCGGTGAAAAAATGCAGACAATACTCCTCACTTGTGTCCTCCGCAGCGAAGCATGCCACTCTGCACGAAGCATACCTGTTCTGATCTTCCTCAGCATGCTTTCTGAATCAGTTACAATTACAATTGTGTGTGTGTGTAAGAAATAAAGTAAGAATGGCTAATCCATTCCCATGGAAAAGTCTGGTTGTTTTTCTTTTACCACCTGCTACCTTCCATCTTTTTCACCTGTTGATCCTTGCCATCTTCTTCATTGCTGGCTCTTCTCATTAACTTTCGTAGAATTCAAGGTTGGTAAATTTTCTTGCACACAAAAAACCCCAAAAAAACACAGCAGTCACATGAAATTCAGAGAGTCTAGCACAGGTTGTTCACTGAATAGAAGCAACTGTCGTACTGACTCTTGTAGGCTGTCGTGGCTTTTTCTCAGGAGAGGTAAGGTAAATAAGGGTAGCTTGCAGCGTCACTATTCATGTTGACTCATACACCTAACTCACGAGTCGTATTCTAAACAAAGATCAATAGTTTCACATCAGTACAGGACGTATAGCAAGTTGGACTAGTTAGAAAGTGGAGTATACATGGTACCACTGTATGTGCACAATATCCAGTCTCATGTGATGCATTTGTTTGGGACGTAAAGAGTTAAATGTGTAACACCCCCATTAATTCTAGATGGCTGTCTGCTCAACTCTTTCTATAATCTGCATTTGCAAGCTTATGTTTTATTGAGAGAGAGTTCACATGCTTCATGTTTTCATGCCCATGCACTTGAAAAACCTGGAACACAGGAACACTTCTGGTGTGTTTTGTTTCATCATTTGTGTTTGTTGTTCAATGTGTTCATCATTTTTTGAGTACAAATATCCAGTTAGTTATCCACACATGGATACAATTATGGTTATGTTAGTTGCTCTTGGCTGATACTAGTTTTTCATGTCTCTTTCCTTCTCTCGTCTGTTTTCTTTTCTATACACCACCTAATATTTAATAGTCACTTCAGGGGTAAACCTTAAAATTAACTCCACAATGTTAATTTGCTGAGGTGTGAAAGATCTCCTGGCCTAAGGGACAATTCCCCACACACATAAGTATCCATGTGTGTCTGTCTGCACATAGAAGGAGAGGAGCATCACTGAATAGCTCCTGCTATGTTCTGGTAACTTTACTGTAATCATCTGCAGCTAGCTGATTTAACTACTCATCTGTTTCTTCTCCATACTGTAATTATATTTTACTAGCTTTCCTCAGTTTTTTTTGTTTTTTTTTTTTATGTACAGGTACTTTAAAAAAAAAAAATTGGTTACTTGTCTTCAGTTTATTTTATTAATTTACTTTTTTTATTTTTCAATTTTTCTAATGCTGGCTGTGGGCAGGTTTCATATATTACATAGTCTCACTTCTGTACTCCTGTATGTAAACAGAGATAGTTTATACTTTGTTTTGTACCTTACTTTGTTGCATATCTTTGTTTTCTACATTATTTTGTTCTGTGCATTACTTTTTTTTTAACATACTTTGTTCTGTATGTCACTTTGTTGAGATTACTTTTTTTTTTTTTTTTTTGTTTTTTTGTTTTTTTTTTGTTCTTTACATCACTTTGTTAACATTACTTTGTTTTAAAAATCACTTTGTTCTTTTCATTGCTTTGTTTTATACATTACTTTATTCTGTACTTTGCTTACATTACTTTGTTTTGTACATTACTTTGTTCTGTACTTTTTTTTCTACATCATTTGGTTCTGTACTTACTTTGTTCTGTACATAGTGTTGTTATATAGATTACTTTTCTATTGTCTTCCTCTTTAGTACATTACGGAACAAGCCTAGGCCTTAATTGTATGTGTTCTATTTTATTTGCAGTCTCAGGCATTACCTTGTCATCTTGTTTTCATGTAAATTCTGATGAGAACATCTGTGTTTTCTGTTTGTTTTTTGTTATGTTTAGCCGTTTAGAAACAAGAATCTCATCATACTGCCATGCTGCTTGTTGAAAAAATAGGTTGTTTTTGTTTATCTAATCATCTGTAAATAACTGACAATATTGTTTAGAATATTAGCCAGGGATAAGCTTCATTAATCTTTAACTTCAAGCTTTCATTGATCATGTTATTTTGTCACCCACTAGTGTTTCACTTTTCCACATGTACATCTTGCTGATGGTTGGCTTGTTTTCCCTCCAGCTTCTTTACTAACACTCCCCTCCTGTATCCTTTTCTTTTAATGCTTCTTCTGGACTGGCCTGGGCACTACAGATAAACCACAGGATAAGGATAGAGTTGAGGTGGAAGAACAGATGAGAAAGACGGATTCAGACTTTGTGAGGGAGCAACTGACTTTGACTCAGGATCAGCTTTTCGAAGAAAGGAAGGTCCAGAAAGAGGTCCATACTGCTGACATTCATTACGAGCTCAGTGAGCAGGTCACTGTAGAGGAGGTTGATGTGCTAGACTTCGTGGAGACCCATGAGGTTGCTGTTATCAAAGAAGAACAAGAAACCTATGAGATCCCTGTGCAACAAACAGAGCTTGTCCCTGAAGAAAGGGAGGTTGTCTTCTTTGATGAGGTTGTAGAAGTGGTCAGTGTTAAGACAGCAGAGGAAGAGACATTGGAGGAGCATGTCGTAGCCAGTGTTACCACGAGGGTTGATGAGGTCATCAAAGAAGATCACACGGAGAAAGATGAGTTTGTGAGTGAGATAACAGTCCCTGCAGGAGTTGCTGTTGATGTTGTTCACAAAGAAGAGTCCACTGAAATTGTCTCGCAAGAAGAAATAGAAGTTGTAGAAACAGAAGCTCCCAGGAGTATTCTTGTGGAGTCAGTCTCCCATCCTCCTCTTGAAGAAACTGTAATGGTTGTGGAGCAGGAAGAAGAAGAGGGGAGGAGGGTCACTGATGATGGGTTAGAAAAACAAGAAAGCAAAGAGGAAGCTGAATCACCTATCACAGACTTGAAATACACTTCCCTAACTGATCCAGCAACGACTGAGTTGGTGAGGGAGAAGATTGAAACTATTGAGGAGGTGGTGAGTCACATGGAGAGGAAGTTTGAACTGACCTCAGGTGATGCATTTGAGAAGACATACACTAGCAGCTCCTATGAACAAGTTTTTTCTGATAAGCTTGCACTTGATGATGTGGAAGTCGGTTATGAGCATGAGAAGGTTGTGCTGCACGAGGAAGCAGAAATCAGTCAGGATCTTGACAGAGGGAAAGAAGAATTTAGGAGCGAGCTGACAGAAGATGCCAGTGAAACAACGCAGGACTTTTCAGAAATCAGGAGTGAGCTGGTAGAGTCTCTGGAGAGCCACCATGAGCTAGAAACTTCAAAACAACATGTCAGTTCTGAGGCTGAGGAGATGGTCAGTCAGCTGACAGAAACCAAAGCCCAAGCGGCTGATCTAGAGGACCAGACACTTGAGGACAGAGATCTTGGAACCCAGAAGGATCTGGATGACATGCAAGACACTCTAGAAGAAAGTGAACTGCAGAAACATCTACAGAAAGATGAGGATTATTACGTGGTTGAAACCACAGTTACAGAGTCTGTGGGGAAAGTCCTTGAGGAGTTTCAGGTGGATGAACAGGTGACATTAGTCTCCCATGTCCTTGAAGATGAGGAACCAGAACTAAGAACTACAACAGAAACAGTGTTTGTGGACAGGCAGAAATATCAGTCTGCCGAGTCAGCATTTGAAACAGTTTCAGAATCTTATCAGGACTTGGAAGTTAGCGAGACATCTGTGGATGATGCTGTACTGGATGGGCAAAGGTTTGAGGCAAAGGCTGCAACTGTTGATGAAATCATGGTAGAGCCACACAGTTTCACCACACATATTATTAGCACTGAAATTGAAGGAGAGGAAGATGAAGAGAAAGGTCAGTTTGTGATTGAAGAAAGGGTTGCTTATCTCGATCAGATGGAATCTGAAATTCTTGCTGCTGAAAGGACCACCCAGTCAGAACTGAACAATGAGGAAGGTAGAGAAGAAACTGTAGTTGAGAGTAGACGTTACGAAGCTGAGGATGTTCAAAGTAGTCGTTACAGTGCTGCTGAAGATGAAATAATTTATGAAGGGAAGTTCACTGAGAGAGCTGATGAGAGTTAGAAAGTGTTGCTGCGACTGCAGGAAGTGATGTTTCTGGTGTAGAGGATGTTGACCAAGAGTGTTTGTCTGAAACAAAAGATAACATTGGGTCTGTTGTTGAAGATGGTCAAACATCAAGTTATTCTTATGCAGAAGAAGAGAAAGTAACACTGGAAGAAGATGTCGGCAAGGATTATGTTGACCATCAATACGAAACCAAAAAAGAAGATGGTGGGGAAGAAGGTACATATGAGACAGCAGAAATTATAGAAGTGGTATTTGAAGATGAAGACAAAGAAGAAATGGAGGACAGGGAGATTGAGGACATACATGAAGACAGAGAGGTTGACTTCAAGTATGATTTCGAAGCACAGCTTGTCGACAGAAGACGAGGAGAAGAAATTAGTGAAGAGGAAGAAATACACAAGGAAGAAGAAATACCTGAAGAGGAAGAAATGCACGAAGAAGAAGAATATGAAGAGGAAGAAATACTTGAAGAGAAAGAAGTATATCAAGAGGAAGAAATACTTGAAGAGAAAGAAGTACATGAAGAGGAAGAAATACTTGAAAAGAAAGAAGTACATGAAGAGGAAGAAGTACATGAAGAGGAAGAAGTTCATGAAGAGGAAGAAGTACATGAAGAGGAAGAAGTACATGAAGAGGAAGAAGTACATGAAGAGGAAGAAGTACATGAAGAGGAAGAAGTACATGAGGAGGAAGAAATGCACAGAGGTAAAGAAATACTTGAAGAGGAAGAAGTACATAAAGAGGAAGAAGTACATGAAGAGGGAGAAGTACATGAAGAGGGAGAAGTATATGAAGAGGAAGAAATACTTGAAGAGGAAGAAGTACATGAAGAGGAAGAAGTACATGAAGAGGAAGAAGTTCATGAAGAGGAAGAAGTACATGAAGAGGAAGAAGTACATGAAGAGGAAGAAGTACATGAGGAGGAAGAAATGCACAGAGGTAAAGAAATACTTGAAGAGGAAGAAGTACATAAAGAGGAAGAAGTACATGAAGAGGGAGAAGTACATGAAGAGGGAGAAGTATATGAAGAGGAAGAAATACTTGAAGAGGAAGAAGTACATGAAGAGAAAGAAATGCACAGAGGTAAAGAAATACTTGAAAAGAAAGAAATATTTGAAGAGAAAGAAATACTTGAAGAGAAAGAAGTACATGAAGAGAAAGAAATGCACAGAGGTAAAGAAATTTTTGAAGAGAAGCAAATACATGAAGAGGGAGAAATACACAAAGATAAAGAAATGCAGGAAGATCTGTCAGAAACAGCTAATCAGATATTTGTCTATGAAAGAACTATTCCAGAAATTGTAGAAGACTTAGTGGCCACGGTAGACTTTGAAGAAGTTGATGAAGTTCTGGTGACCAGTGTGGAAGTTCCACATGTTGAAGCTAAAGTGTCAAGTCTGCCTGAAGAGGAAGCTGAAGAAATCAAAGAGACTGTTGAGGTGACTAAAGTGAAGGCAGCTCATGCACAACCTGGTCAAGCTTATTTAGAAGAGGAGGAGGAAGCAGAAAGTGAAAGCATCAAAGACGATGTGGCTATGGCTTCAACAACTATGGAAATAATGATGCAGTCTGTTCATGAAGATCTTGAGCCCTCTTCATCCGTAGAACATGAATTCAGCAAGGAGACGAGACAAGAAGTTTATGAATTACAGGAGGATTACACTGATGCTAGAGTCAGTACACAGTCTCAGAAAGGTTTTGCAACTCTTCCCGATGAAGAAGAAGAAGAGATACAAGAAATTTCCAAGGAAGAGTTATTTCCAACTAAAGTTAAGGAAAGCTTAAGTGAGCTAGAGGAGAGAGATACCTTGGATGGGGTTGTGGAGCGTAGCACATCACAGACTTATGAGACAGCTTCCCAAGAAGCAGCCCATGTGGTCTCAGAAGAGACAGTTAAGTATACAATGAGGGAGGTAGAAGAAAGAGGACAGTCTCCATCAGAAGAAGATGTGAATACTCAGAGGGAGGATAAATGCACAGGTGTGGAAATAGAAGGCAGCGGTCATGAGCATATCCCTGTATATGTGCAGCCTTCTGAAGCTGAAGATCTGGCTAGTACTGGAGAATTTGAAGAGCATGGAGCCCGCAAGATTGTTGAGTACACCAGCAGTTATCAGTACAGATGTGAAGAGAGAGAGGCAGAAACCCGTGTCGCATCAGAATTTGTACAAGACTCCGAAACTGTTTATAAATATGACAGATTTGAGAAGACTTACAAGGAGGCGGCCCAGAGAGAGGATGATGATGAATGCGACATGTTTGGAGCCGGAATAGGAGGTGATGACAAGGATGATGACTGGGTTTTGCTGAACAGAGAGGAGCTCACAGAGGAGGAGATTGCCCGAGCGGCCACATTAGTAATGGTTGGCAGGCCAGTGGCAGAAGATGAGGAGCAGGAAGAACAAAAAGATGAGGAAGAGGAAAGTGATGGCGAAATCAACATTGAAGAACAAAGTAGAGAAATGAAAGCATGTTTTCAAACACCCGGTACAGAGATTAAAGCAGCTGTCAGAGAGAGGAGTTTGGATGAAGACATAACTGATGAGGAGCTTGTTGAAAAGTCAACCTCTCCAGTCGAGCTTGACAGTTTCTTATATGCAGTAGAAAGTGATACTGTGAAGATGACCAAAGATGGAGTGGAAAGCAGTATATGCGAAGATAAAGTGTACAGATATTCACCAGCCCAAGAAGTTGAATCACATGACATGCAGTATAACACCCATTTGGTAGATGCAGGAGAGCATGAAGAGAATACACACATCCTGAGAAAGGACAAAACTGAGATGCATCATAAAATGCTTATTGAAACTCAAATGGGGTCTATTGAAATTGAAGAAATGGAAGAAAGTGAGATCATAGGGGAGATTGACAAAGCAGAATCAGCTCAATTAGAAGAGAATGCTGAAACAGAGAGAGGAACGTCACCAGTTTATACGTCCGATGAAACTGTGAAGGTTATATCAGAGGAGAAGGACGTTTCAGACAAATCTGAATCTCCAGTTCCTGACCTTTCACCTCAACAGGATGATAAAGAGTTCATTAATGAAATAACTTCTAGAGAGGATTACAAAATAACAATGAGGACAGCACATTTTGTCTCTGAGCATACAGAAATCACAGAAGAGTCGTATGCATCTGAAAGTGTAGCAACTACAGTGGATCGTGAAGATTATCCCAAAGCTGTCACCCCAGAGGAATCTGCTGTTCCACCCAGTGTTAGTCTGGCCACAGACACAGCCACTAAGAAGGGTCATGAGGCAGAAAGGGCAGACAAAAGTCTGCCTCTGGCTGATGAGGAGTCTGAATCTGTTTCAGTCTCTGAAAAAGCCATCGGCTCCTCTCCAGAAGAGCAGGAGAATCTTGATGATGATAATATGTTGGATCAAGATGAAGAATTTGTTAAAGAAATTGATGAGGAAGTCAAAGAAATTGATGAGGAAGTCAAAGATGTTGATGAGGAGTTTGTGAAAGACATAGATGAGGAGCTAGATCAAGAAATTGAAGAACAGGAACAGTTGACTGCTGCTCTTTTGTCTCAGTACTCCAAAGAAAGTGATGAAGAATATGAAGAGGATATTGAGGAGTTGTCAGAAACATACAAGGATGCTGTCTTGGAAACCCTTGAAGAGACCAAACCAGACAACTTACTTGAATTGATTCCAGAACAATCCCCCAACAGTGACCTGGCCAAATCATCACCAAGTGTACACCCATGACGAGAAAGCAACTGTGGATGAAACCCAGTTGTCCTTAGACACAGGTGCAGAAGTAGAATCTCCCACAAGGGCTAAATATCCTGATGAAAACATCAGAGAGGACTTTGGGGAGGAAGAGGAAGAAGATGTAGACAGGATTTTTGAAAAATATGAAACTGAACCAGAAATTGTGGTACCTATAGATGCAGTCATTGGAGAACATGCTGAAATCGAAGTACAAGACATAGACAGGATTTTTGAAAAATATGAAACTGAACCAGAAATTGTGGTACCTATAGATGCAGTCATTGGAGAACATGCTGAAATTGAAGTACAAGACATAGATAGGATTTTTGAAAAATATGAAAACTGAACCAGAAATTGTGGTACCTATAGATGCAGTCATTGGAGAACATGCTGAAATCGAAGTACAAGACATAGACAGGATTTTTGAAAAATATGAAACTGAACCAGAAATTGTGGTACCTATAGATGCAGTCATTGGAGAACATGCTGAAATTGAAGTACAAGACATAGATAGGATTTTTGAAAAATATGAAACTGAACCAGAAATTGTGGTACCTATAGATGCAGTCATTGGAGAACATGCTGAAATCGAAGTACAAGACATAGACAGGATTTTTGAAAAATATGAAACTGAACCAGAAATTGTGGTACCTATAGATGCAGTCATTGGAGAACATGCTGAAATTGAAGTACAAGACATAGATAGGATTTTTGAAAAATATGAAACTGAACCAGAAATTGTGGTACCTATAGATGCAGTCATTGGAGAACATGCTGAAATTGAAGTACAAGACATTGATAGGGTTTTTGAAAAGTATGAGCATGAGGCTAAAGTTCAGCATGCTTCAATAGAGCAACAAGAAACTCATGAAGAAGAACATGGAATGTTTTTCGCGACACCTGAAGATGATTTGACTCAAGAAAGGGGTGAGGTACAACACAGAGAAAGGAGTCCTGATGTTCATGTTCCAGATGAGGATCACTTAGACAGCCTGTACTCAGAGACTGAAAGAATAGAAGAAGAAGAAGAAGGTGATGAGAATCATTTGATTTCAGATTCTTACATCGACAAATATCGAGATGAGGTTGTCGTTGAGGAAAGAGAGGTGCTGCAGCAGGAAACAGTTGTGGCTGGCGAAAAGATCATTACTGATGAGATGACAGATTCAACAAAACAGGAATGGATGAAAGTCCATGAGATGGAGTATGAGGTGGAACTTAGTAAAGCCATTGTTCAAGATGCTCTTCACACCAGCATTGAGACCACAAGGAAGACTGAAGATGAGAGGAAGACTAAGGATGAGAGGAAGACTGAAGATGAGAGGAAGACTGAAGATGAGAGGAAGACTGAAGATGAGAGGAAGACTGAGGAAGAATCACTGTCTTTTGGGATCATGGCTGAAATGCAAATGCTAGAAGATCAACAGGCAGGAGAGGAACTTGTTTCAGAAGATGATCTGGATGATGATAAATATGGAGACGAAGCTGAGGAAGACAGTTACCATCAGATGTTGGAAATGGTACCCCATGACGATGAAGAAAGAGGCCATTTTTCTAGAACTCAGATAGGTATAGGATACACGAAAACTATATCAAAATTAGAGGATACAGAGACTAGTGATGACCAAACTGAAGTTTATAACGAGTTGGAGCAGTCTATAGATCGGACAGAAATGAAACTTGAGAAGGTGGATTTTTCCATTACTGAAGAAGCCACACATGCATTAGATAGAAAGGAAGTCAAGGTTGAAGAGACATCAGCGCTGGTGGACAGGGAAAGACTAGAAGGTTCTAATTCAGAAGCTTTTATTGGTCAAGAATGGGATGATCACGTTGAAGCTGTGACAGATACATACAGGTCTCAAGTGGAAAATGAGGAAGAAGAAGAAGAGTCCCGTGAACAGTATTTTCATCAGTCACAAGAAACTGACATACAAATAGAAGCCTCATATACAGATATTGACAGCCAGGAGACAGACGCTGTTCTAGCAGAGACATTCATAGACAGAACTGAGCACTTCCTGGAGATGTTGCAGGATATGATCACACCAGAGCAGGATGGAAGAGACAGAGTAGCTGCTGTCTACGCAAGCCATGGAGCAACAGCACATGAGGAAAGCTCCTCTCAGACTGGTAGTGAAACATCACCTACCTCACATCAAGCAGCAGATGACTATCATCGAGGTCAAGTAACTATTGATGGTATGAACATGGGCTTGCATCTCCCAAGGTCACCATTTTACCCTACTTCCTCTACGGAAGTGCATGATCGTTCAGGATCACCTAGTGATCTAGAGGATGAGATCACTGAAGTTGAGGTCAAACACTCACAGCAGAATGAGTGCTTTGAGGAAGAAAGTCAGGAGGAAGAATTTCAGGAGGCATTTTCCCAGCCTCAGGAAGACAGTCCACTCACCAGAAGTAGACAGGACAAATCAGAAATGCCAGGGCATACATTTATGGCATCCAGCATCTCTGGCTCCGATTACACTTCCCCTAGTGATGTTGATTATGCCCAGAGTGAAACTACTGGGACAGGTTCTTTCTACACAGCCCCCAGTGAGAGAATGAGCAGCTCTAGCTGCACGGCCCCGAGCGAAACCATGACAGGATCAGAGTACACCATGACAGGGTCTGAGTACGATCATGAAGCAGACGAGGAAGAATATGAGTCGGAGGGAAGACTTTCAGCTGATATGTCACAACAGATCTTCATTGAGCAGAAGTTCTCCAGGAGGCATGGCGAGCAAGATGATTCATCATCTGAGGAAGAATATGATGAGGGGGTTGACCGATTAGATAGACCCCCATCACCCTCCGAATTTACACTGATTGCCTCGCAAGATACAGAGAGGTTGAACATATCTCTGGGTCTGACTCAGGGAGGGCCCAGGGCAATATCACATCTGACAATTAGCCCTCTAGCAATGGAGCATGCACAACCTCAGCAGGATTTGATGCACGTCCAGTTTGACACGGACATTGAGAAAGATAGCCTTCAAGATGATGAAGAGGTGCATGAGGATTATGACGAGGAAGAGGATGAAGAATGATGGCGGAAGGATGAGCGTTGACTTTGCCATTTCTGACAGGCCACCATCTCCCTCTGACTTCACCCTCATCGCTTCGCAGGACCAGGAAAGCTTGCAGCGGATCCTGGGTGTGGAGGAAGTTCTCTCTCCGGAGCAGGATACAGGTGAGATGTGTTGGAGAGCATGATGTATGTAGTTCTGTCCGTTTCTGGGGCCAGCAGTTGTTCTTTAGGGCATGTTTCCTCCTCTGCATCCACCCTTAAAGGGTAGTTAGCACATTGTGGTTCACAGCTAGGCCACTGTATCTGTGCCTTTCAGCCCAACATATGTGTTCAGAACTTCCTTAATAGGTCGCCTTTTACGGCACGCTTGTTAAGTCAGCATCTATGGCTCAGGCCTCTTCATAATTCCGGGGTACCTGGATCAGTTCCAACTGCAGGCAGTTGACAACAGACCGCCTTGTGTTGATTTCAACAAGGATATTGAGAGCCGACTGTTTAGGCTGTTCAGTGGCAGACTACTGAACGTGAGATTGCCTAGTAAAGCCAAAATTATCCAAGTAATCCTCGGGTTTATTCTGTAACGTCCTGTAAAGGTTACACAACTAATTATGTTTCTAAAGAAGCAAAGCTACTGTTCTTGCCACCATTGCTCCTGCAGAAAATGTGGGTCCTAAAACCCTGAAAAGGGTGGGGGGGGATTTAACTCACAGCAGTTAAACAGTCATGTTTACTTTAAATCATTGATGAAGCCTAATTTCTAAGTCTGCCAGACTTTTTGAACGGCTTTTTTCTCGCATAAAATATGCAGTATTCCTTCAACAAAGAAACGATGCTCGGGGAATCGTAAACCTATTCTAGGAACTAGTTTTGTGCATGATGGCAGTGATATGTTAATGTTTTATTTTGCTATTGTTACTACATGTTACTTATGTTTTGATATTGCATGAATATATTTGTAATCACATGACTGTCTCAGACAGTTACATCAGGCCTTGGACAGCTTTTGTATGAGTCTAAAATCTTGATGTCAAAAATCTTAATTGCAAAATGTAAATTTAAGGGGAAATGGGGGGATTCCTGGTAGAAAAGATTCCTGTTTCTTGAGGGCCAATATATTTATGATTGACAGTGACATCCTACTTTTTGGATTCAACAAAAGTTGTACTAGGTGTTATATATTAAGTATGAATGGCTAAATGCTGCTCTTTAAAAAATAAAGTTTGGTCATTCATTTGTTCTTTACAGAAAGAATACACGTTATACTTTGATTCAGTTCTCATTTGAAAGGAAATACTGTTTTTCTTTTCATGCCACCTGTGGCTTTAAAACTGTCCCAGATTTGAAGTCTGAATCTTTCAGATTTCTTTAGAAAGAAAACAATTATTGTTACTGATCACCACACCTCATGATGCAGTAGCCTAGTATATCTGAACTGCTAGCTCGTTTCCTGAGATAGCAACAGCCATGAAATTGCTTTTCTAGTAAACAAAAACCTTATCCACGCTTGAAGATGTGTTGGGTATATAATGCTATGCAATTTTTTTCATTATTTGTAAACTTGTGATTTTAGACCTAGTGTCAAAATGCAGCATCCCCAAAATGCAGTGAGAAAAAAAATAACATGTCCTCACAAATGATTAATGAATATATTTACTGAAGCAACAGAGGCCGCACAGTGAGACACACACCACAGATTGTTCTAGAATGGTGTTTATATCTCATTTCTGCCAACAAAACAGGAAATAAGGGAAAGAAATTGTCATACACAAATATTACCACTGATCTTTCAATATTACATATAAAAAAAAGGGTGCCAGTACTGCATGCCATTGCGTACCATCATAGAATATCCATGAATCTGTTGAATGGGAACTGATTTAAGTGGTGTAGCAAGACACGCTGCAGGATCTTGTGTAGTTTTCAGGCATGAAGGAGGTCCTGGTAAAATAATATAGCAGTTCCATCACAACAGGATCTGTTCAAGTCTTTAAGCAAAGGTCTCCCCAATAAAGTAAGGCAGCAAAGCTAGGATATGTCCAAGTCTACAACTATGAGTCTCCATGATAAAGTAAGGCAGCAAATCCGCGGTTCTAGGATCTGTTCAGGTCTTCAAGCAAAGGTCTCCCCATTAAAGTAAGGCAGCAAATCCACGATTCTAGGATCTGTTCGTCTTCAAGCAAAGGTCTCCCCATTAAAGTAAGGCAGCAAATCCATGATTCTAGGATCTGTTCAGGTCTTCAAGCAAAGGTCTCCCCATTAAAGTAAGGCAGCAAATCCATAATTCTAGGATCTGTTCAGGTCTTCAAGCAAAGGTCTCCCCATTAAAGTAAGGCAGCAAAAATCCATGATTCTAGGATCTGTTCAGGTCTTCAAGCAAAGGTACTGCCATTAAAGTAAGGCAGCAAATCCACGATTCTAGGATCTGTTCAAGTCTTCAAGCAAAGGTCTCCCCATTAAAGTAAGGCAGCAAATCCATGATTCTAGGATCTGTTCAGGTCTTCAAGCAAAGGTCTCCCCATTAAAGTAAGGCAGCAAATCCATAATTCTAGGATCTGTTCAGGTCTTCAAGCAAAGGTCTCCCCATTAAAGTAAGGCAGCAAATCCATGATTCTAGGATCTGTTCAGGTCTTCAAGCAAAAGTCTCCCCATTAAAGTAAGGCAGCAAATCCACGATTCTAGGATCTGTTCAAGTCTTCAAGCAAAGGTCTCCCCAATAAAGTAAGGCAGCAAAGCTAGGATATGTTCAAGTCTTCAAGCAAGGGTCTCCCCATTAAAGTAAGGCAGCAAATCCACAGATTCTAGGATCTGTTCAAGTCTTCAAGCAAAGGTCTCCCCATTAAAGTAAGGCAGCAAATCCACGGTTCTAGGATCTGTTCAGGTCTTCAAGCAAAGGTCTCCCCATTAAAGTAAGGCAGCAAATCCGTGGTTCTAGGATCTGTTCAAGTCTTCAAGCAAAGGTCTCCCCATTAAAGTAAGGCAGCAAATCCACAGATTCTAGGATCTGTTCAAGTCTTCAAGCAAGGATCTCCCTGTTAAAGTAAGGCAGCAAATCCACTATTCTAGGATCTGTTCAAGTCTTTAAGCAAAAGTCTCCCCATTAAAGTAATGCAGCAAATCCACGGTTCTAGGATCTGTTCAAGTCTTCAAGCAAGGGTCTTCCAAGTGAAACCCCCATTAAATTGCTGCAACAGTGCTTCTCTGGGGAGACTTGATTAAAACCTTTCTGTAGAAGTTTACTCAGCAGCCAAAGTGTTGAAAATGGGGTCCCATTAATAACATTTCAATTGGCAGTGATTTCCTGGCCACTTGCTAAGCCTCAGGCCAGATTCCTCAGTCTAGGGGCCACCAGTTGAATAGCCCTGGTCTAGAGGAGTTCAACTTGAAACAATTGTTTACTAGAGTCTTGACACCCTGTGCTCCAAGTTATGGGGATCTAAAACTAAATATAATAATACCCTATCTGTGAATTAAAATCTCATTTGTCCTTTTAACTGTATGCATTTACCACTTTTGGGAGTGAAGTAGAGAGGGGGGATGTCGTGAGCCCAAAGATTTAGAGTCGCATGGCTGGTGCAGGCACCTCAAACAAATTGCAGGTTATGATTTGTATTTTTGCAAAAGGAATTCTGTAAAGGAACATGTTATTTGAGTTTTGACTTATTATCGTATTGATTGTTCTACAAGCTTGTTTCTGTTTCCTCAGGTTCTCCAATGCAGTGGGAGCAAGATCTGGAGAAGGCCATCATTGATGCTGATGCTATTTCCACAGCTTCCAGCGACCAGGCCCTGATGATTGGCCTAGATCGCATCTCTGTTGCCGGCACAGACAACAACACAATGTCTGGAGTCAGCTCTGAGAGTGGACAGCAGGTGGATGGCGATAGTCCTCTTGATGATGATGTCAAAGACAGACAGCATCTTTACCAAGCATACATGAGAGAAATGGAGAGTGAGAGATTAGCATTGGCTGAGGATGAGTTGAGGGAGAAGGTGTGGTCTTTGTCTAGATCTGAGGAGTTCTCTGCTGAAGCTTATGAAGCTGATTCACGAGATGGCAGGGAAGGGGCTGAGGAGGGTAAAGCTGACGATGTTGTGTATGACATGTATGAAGATCATGTTCAATCCCAGATGTCCCTACAGGACAAGGAAGACTCCAAAGACACTCTGAGTTTAGAAGTCGGCTATATCTCTCCTCAAGCTAATTTCGATGATATTTCACAAGACACACAAGGCCAGGTCACTGAGTTTGAGGAGGGGGTACTTGCTCCGGCGGAAGAGGCAGGAGTCAGTGATCAGATACATGAGGAAAGCACTGAGACAAAACGGCAGATAACACAGTGGGAGGATGGTGAAACTAAAGTGGAAGTAACAGAGACATCTCAAATGTCTACTACTGAAGAAGTGAGAGGTGATGAAGGAGGCTTGTTTTCTGAAGAAAAACAGCATGACATGTTTTCAACCCATGGGAAATATTCCTACTCTTATAAAGAAACACAAGAAATTAGATCTTCAGAGGAGGCATTTAGAGGGACCAGTTTAAGAGAAGAGATTGAAAGCAGTTCTGAGTACAAAGTCAGCAGCTTTTCCTCACATTCTGAAATCAAGTCTGGCCTAGAGTTTCAGTTAGAACCTGGTGACGACCTTGCCCACCGTGACCAGGAAGGTGAGTGAGTCGCTCAGTGTTTCTGGCCGTGCTTGTGTTCATCAGACAGCAATACATTCATCATTAAGCACACCAAAGCCCACCTTTCCGAATTTTCTTACCTCAAGTTTTTTTTTACGCCAGTTTTGAATGCTTTATTATTTGGCTGCATTCTTGGTGCATGTTTGTTATTTTTTTTTTTTTTTTTTTTTGTTTTGTTCTGGATAATATTGAGTAAGTGATTTCATGCATTCTAGTTCAGATATATATAATATTAGTTAAATACAGTATAAACTAAATGATGACAAGAGAACACTGAGTTGCTGTTGTAAAATTTTTGATTAAGAGCGAATGAAGCAAATTAGTCTACCAAAAAAAAAAAAAAAAAAAAAAACTCATTTTTAATACAACTGCAGGGAAAAGGTCCCAAATCCGTGGGAAAGTGTGAATTAATCTCTGTCTTGGGGTAAAATTACCATGCTTTCAACTAGCAAGTTTCTAATGCTGATAGAACATTGACTTTGACACAGCTTGTGAACCTATGAAAAAATTAGCCATGTCAAAGAATAAGTGCGTTAAAACAATTACACATCGCTACACTTGGTCTGATATCTTGACCAATAATAAAACTAATCCATCTATGATTATGCCGCAGTTGTCAACTTTCATAAAGAGATAGTATTTATCTGATCTGAGAGTCAGTGAAGAAGAAGAAAAATAGCCTTCAAGTTAAATTTCTTTTTAGCTGCATTTGTAAAAAAGGCATATCCCTGTTTATATTAAAGGTATCAGGTTAAGAAATGAATAAATTTGACATTAAATTAGTCTACCCAAAAAATAAAAAGGGGAGTGGGGGTGTATAATATGTAGATCATCGTTGATTAAACTGCCATATGTCTGACAAAGTAGCCGTATGTTTGACAAAATAGGCATATGGGACAAACTGAAGGTGCAAGAACTAAATTATCAAGCATTATTAATCTTCATATGCTGACTTAATTGACATAAAAAGATCTTAGTCAACAAAGAATTGAGCTCAGTAGAAATGCATTGTAAATACTGCAATTTGCATAAAGTTCATAATGTTTAGTTTCCCAACAAGAAAATGGGATGCAGGACAGTAAAGGCATGAAAGTACGTAAGGCAAGGGATCCTCAAAACTTTTCACAGGACATTGATCAGATAAGCATTCTGTAAATTACTTGCTCTGAGAGAATGTGCCACATGATGCTGATGAGGATTTATAATTCTTTTTTTTTTATTTTAATTGTTGTCTAGCTTTCGTTAATTTATTATCATTATTAAAAATAATGTTGTGTGCAGTTAGTTTGGTATGAATGTCTTTCTAAATTCCTACAGTTTACATTTTATCCAGTTTGACAATGGCAGTGTGTTGACTTGGTTGCAGATAGTCCTAGTGGCCAGTTTCTCTAGCCTGTTCGTTACATGTCTTTCGGGTGTCTGCTATTGCTTGAGACTGAGGTCTGTGTCTGCTTCTGCCGGAGACTTTTTTAAGCAGGAGCTAGTTGTAGTGCAGTTGCTAACCTACTTGCCTGATGGCGCAAAGGCCATCTATTCAAATCCCTTGGAGGTGATAAATTTAAAAAAACAACAAAATGGGTCCCTGGCTTAAAAACAATTACTAGTAAATATTCTGGAAAGTGGTGGCCTGTGTGGTATTGGCCACCTCACCTATCAAGTAAAGAGGGGTCCACACAAATATGGAATCACCACCATGTACCCAGCTCACCACCATGTACCCAGCTCACCTCAGGGATACTTTAGTGCACTTTTAATTGTGCGTGATGGCATGTTCATATTTGGTTGTTAATGTAGTTGCAGATATGTTGTTGGCCTTTTTGCCTCCATGCCTGTTCCAGTAAATGAAAGACCTTGTTTTATGCCAGTGGGGTAGTAGGTTTATGATGCTGGAATCATATTTGGTTGTTAATGTAGTTGCAGATATGTTGTTGGCCTTTTTGCCTCCATGCCTGTTCCAGTAAATGAAAGACCCAGTTTTATGCCAGTGGGGTAGTAGATTTATGATGCTGGAATCATATTTGGATCGTTCAGTTGGCACTTAATGGGCATGTCACAGGTGATTTGTGGGAAATCTGTGTGCCATCTTTTTTTCTGTCTTGATTTCCTGTGGGGGCCTCATGCATGCATCCATCTTGATGACCAAGCTAAAGTTAGTCTTGCTGTAGATTCAGTTTTTATTGTTATCATTAGCTCTGCACTAAACATGCCCCCCCTCCCCTTTCCTCCTGAGTGAACACCATCACATTGCATGATATATGTGCATGTGTGTTAGATATTTATGTTTACATGTTCAGCTATTTATGTCCAGCCTTCTAACTGATCCCTCGTGCAGAATCAACATGTCATCTTACACAAACATTGCATCTTTATTATTGCCGCTGCATATTACGTTGTCATTCTTATAGCATGTACACTTTGTATATAAACGTACTGTATGTTCCTCTTAGAGCTTCTTGTGTAAAGAGATATTCAGATCTAGTTACCACTTATTTTCATAATCTTGATCCCTGCTCAGAAAAATTAGTTGCTTTGTAACATTACGCTTGATAATTTTTGATTGTTTGGTGACAGTTCAGAGTAGACTTGAGTACAAAATATGGCATAGATAGAGAACTGAATTTCTGTCACACAATATAACAATGAGAAGAGAGATGAGAGTTTCTACAATAAAATATAACAATGAGAAGAGAGATGAGAGTTTCTACAATAAAATATAACAATGAGAAGAGAGATGAGAGTTTCTACAATACAGTATAACATTGGTTCGAGAGATGAGAGTTTCTACAATACAATATAACTCTGGTTCTAGAGATGAGAATTTCTACAATACAATATTACATTGGTTCGAGAGATGAGAATTTCTACAATACAATATAACATTGGTTTGAGAGATGAGAGTTTCTACAATACAATATAACATTGGTTTGAGAGATGAGAATTTCTACAATACAATATTACATTGGTTCGAGAGATGAGAGTTTCTACAATGCAATATAACATTGGTTTGAGAGATGAGAATTTCCACAATATAACATTGGTTTGAGAGATGAGAGTTTCTACAATACATTACAACATTGATTTGATAGATGAGAGTTTCCACAATATTATACAACATTGGATGTAGGGATATGTATTTGCACCATAGAATCTAACAGTGGCTAGCTAAGATGTGAGTTTCTGTCATAAAATGTAACAATGAGTAGACGTATGTGAGTTTCCACTATTGAATAACAGTATTGCCCTAGCTTACTAGGATGGCAAATGATGATTGATGATGATTAATAGTTCCCTGTAAATGCAGAATTGACTTTGGCAGATAATTCAACAGTAATTCCAATTTTAAAATAATCAAACAGTAGAACCAGATTCTGAATAAAAAAAAAAGAATTTTTAAAATATAAAACATTCCAAACATAGAATAAGTGAAACAAAATTTAGGGAGTGGGTCATTCTCATAAGGGAGTTTCCAGCCATCCAGTAAATAAAGCAAATATCATCACAAGCATGCTTATATCTAAGATAATGTCTCTGTAAAACATGTATTGTCATCAACTTATGTATGGCTATGTTCTAGGATCTGTTTGTTGCGGTGAGTGTTAGTTTTATGTTTTTGATGTCAGTAACAGGTGTTGCAAAAATGCTGTCACATTCACCATGAAGAAAATTAATCACTAAGTTATGTCTGTCATAATGCACATAAGTGCAAGCTGTGTAAGACATACACTGTTTTAAGTCCCAAGAAACACATGATGTGTGATGCCTTCTTTTCACATGCCCACGTGAATTCCATGTGTTGCCTTGTCTGTTTATTTACACCTGGTTACAGCTTACAAAAACATCTGGCCACTTCCACAGCAAAGTTGGTCTCTGTCAAAGTGATGCCCTCATAGCGTCTTCTTCTTCTCTGTTTTCTTGGTGTAAACACCTGAGGAAAGTCCTGCTTTGTGCCAGGGCCTGAGTTTTGCATGTACATGCATTTTACTGGCTATTTGTATGCAGTTAATTAACCCTTGCCGCTTGGGCAGATGCACTCCGACTTCAAAGAAAGTCCCCGGTTAGTCGATTCCTACAACATACCTGCTGGGAAGGCAGTGGGGCTATTCTTGTTTTCCCCCACAATGAGGCTTCAGAACCCACACGGGGAACTCATGGCTTTATAATAGTTTCTTCTCATGCCACCTTGAGCATCTCCTGCAAAACCTTCTGCTGCCGAAAGAGTAAATGTATATAAAAAAACAGTATGTAGAGGAGTTCAGAGTCTCCATTATCACTCACTATAAAATGCCACCATGTCATCATCATCATTGAACAATCAGAGTTCAACACTAGAGCAGGGCTGTTCACCTAGTTCACTCAGGGGCCACAACTTTGACAAGAGAGATGGTCAGGGGCCAGAATGGAAACATCATTGATACAATACAACTGGCAACAATCTGTGGACCATTTGCATCGCATGAAGCATAAAAACCTCTGTTGTCTTTATGAATGTCGTGTTGAGAGGCCACATCTCTTCTATGGTGCAACTCTCATACCATTGTCTGAAGACCACAGCATTAGTTTTAGTGACCTCATTAAAATATATATTACTGTCAGGCTAATTGTAATTTCTAGCCAGATTTCTTTAGTGTTATGTGGCCAAATATGAAAGATATAACACAGGGTGAATTTTTTTTCCATCCAAGACATGTAACCCTCAACCTCTTGACCTATTCAACTGTAGAGTTACCTTTGTTTTACTCAAAACAGTTTTTATTTTGAGGTTTCAGTTGCCCTGGACAAACTAGTGAAGAAAAATATGTTGTCTTTCATGGTGCAAACAGAATTAATAAGTTGACTCAGTTTTATTTCGTTTAGCTTTATTATATACTTTAGCTCTGTTTAATAGTGTCAGCTCTGTTGCGTGCTCAAACTAGATTATGTGTTTTAGATATCCCTTTGTGGCATTTAGTGCCTGCTTTCATGGCATGAACCTCCCATGTATGCTCACTTTGTTAATAAGAGATTAATGTTCATGCTGTGAACCTCCTATGTATGCTAACTCTCTTAATAAGAGATTACCTTGATTATGTATCTACCCTTTGACTGTGTGAAATGCAGCCTAATTAAGCATGCAGAAAACTCTGTCATTTGTTCAGTGTGGCTCCTTTAAACACAGGCCTAAAGTTAAGGAGACTTTTGTTCTTGATATATTTATTTTGCTCAGCAGAACTGAAGCTATTTGATGAGCAAGGCCAAGAAATGGCGGCCATGGCGGCTCTACAGTCATCAGATAAAATGAGCTCCTCCAGCTCAGAAGTTGCCCAGTTGGATGATTTTGATAATCAAGGTATTTTATGTTTCTTTGTATTTCTATAGTGTACATTTTTGGCCCACTTGTCATCATATTTCTTTCCAGTATTTCATTAGCTTCCACTTTATTGCCAGCTCGTCTTCTGTTTGTGACATGAAACTCCTTTGAACACTGAAATCACAGTCAAAATTTTTTTCAGTATGTCTGCTAAATACATCAGTTTTATGTTCACATACATTTTGGTTGCATGGTTTACTTTCGCCTTTTAACATTTAGTTGCTTTTAATATTTATGAATTTTTAAACTTAAGCTGTGCTCAAATTAGAGATAACAAACTTTCAACTCTTTTGTGTTGCTGAATTGATTTTAATACAGAATTGCCATCAAGACACATACGACAAAGTAACAGATACTTGATAATTAGTACATCTATCACATATTCTCACATTTTAAGTCAATTTGTGAATATGCAGCTCATAATTTAGATTTTATTAGGCATTTTCTCTAACACACGTATAAATTGGATCTCATAAGGCATTTTCTCTAACACACACATATAAAGTAGATCTCATTACGCATTTTCTCCAAACACATACATACATGCAAAAAAGATTCCCTTAGATGTTTCTAAATGTGCATTCATGAAATAGTTTGAGTTTCTTCAGATGCATACAGAAGGCAGATTTTATTAGAAAGTTTCTAAACATACATTTCTAAACATACACATAAAGTAGATCTCATTAGACAGTTTCTCAACTCACACCATATGAAGTAGATATTAGGTGTCTTCTCAACATTCATTACCTGGAGTAGATATCATTAGACATCTTCTCAACATACATTACCTGTAATAGATATCATTAGACATCTTCTCAACATACATTACCTGTAATAGATATCATTAGACATCTTCTCAACACATATTACCTGTAATAGATATCATTAGACATCTTCTCAACATACATTACCTGTAATAGATATCATTAGACATCTTCTCAACACATATTACCTGTAATAGATATCATTAGGCTTTTCTCAACATACATTACCTGTAATAGATATCATTAGGCGTCGTCTCAATACATATTACCTGTAATAGATATCATTAGGCTTTTCTCAACATACATTACCTGTAATAGATATCATTAGGCGTCTTCTCAACACATATTACCTGTAATAGATATCATTAGACATCTTCTCAACACATATTACCTGTAATAGATATCATTAGACATCTTCTCAACATACATTACCTGTAATAGATATCATTAGGCGTCTTCTCAACACATATTACCTGTAATAGATATCATTAGACATCTTCTCAACACATATTACCTGTAATAGATATCATTAGACATCTTCTCAACATACATTACCTGTAATAGATATCATTAGACATCTTCTCAACACATATTACCTGTAATAGATATCATTAGACATCTTCTCAACATACATTACCTGTAATAGATATCATTAGACATCTTCTCAACATACATTACCTGTAATAGATATCATTAGACATCTTCTCAACATACATTACCTGTAATAGATATCATTAGACATCTTCTCAACATACATTACCCAGAGTTTATATCATTAGAGCAAATTTAAATGTCTAGGGTAATTTTTCACCTCAGATGGAAGAATAGTTAGAGAAATCAACATATGATGTGTGAAAGCAAATCAGGTTATGGGAAAATAAATACCACTTCTGACCTATAGAAAGATACCTCTGTCAAGCAGAGTAAATCTCTTGAGAACAGTTTTTTTGGGCAACATTGTGCTATCAGTGCCAAGCATGGACCCTTTCTACAACTAATGTGCAGAAGATCGTAACAACAGAGATGAGATGTCTTAGGAGAGCTGCCAGTATGAGAGGTAAAATCAGGAATAAAGAAATCAGAAGACTAGGACTTTAACCAGTCATACAGTTCATTTAAGAACAACAATTGAGATGGCTTGGCCACCTGAGGAGAATACCCTGGTACCAACTGCCACAGAAAACCATGCAGAAGAAATAAAATGAACACAGAGCAAGGGGAAGACCACACAAGAGGGACACCATCAGGAGCAACCTAACAGAAATGATCATGATCTTGTACCATGCATTGAAAAAAGCGTGCAAATGATCCTTACATCTCCCCCCCCCCCCCCCCCCCCCCACCACCACCGCTGAGGTCAATGGTGGAAGAGAAGAAGAAGATATAATTAGACATCTTCTCAACTTACATTACCTGGAAAAGATTTCATTTGACATCTTCTCAACATACGTTACCCAGAGTAGATAACATTAGACATCTTATCAACACACATTACCTGTAGATAACATTAGACATCTTCTCAACTTACATTACCTGGAGAAGATTTCATTTGACATCTTCTCAACATACGTTACCCAGAGTAGATAACATTAGACATCTTCTCAACACACATTGCCTGTAGATATAATAAAACATCTTCTCAACATACACCACATGAAGCAGATCTCATAAGGCATCTTCTCAAAATACACCACATGAAGCAGATCTCATAAGGCATCTTCTCAAAACACACCACATGAAGCAGATCTCATAAGGCATATTCTCAAAACACACCACATGAAGCAGATCTCATAAGGCATCTTCTCAAAACACACCACATGAAGCAGATCTCATAAGGCATCTTCTCAAAACACACCACATGAAGCAGATCTCATAAGGCATATTCTCAAAACACACCACATGAAGCAGATCTCATAAGGCATCTTCTCAAAACACACCACATGAAGCAGATCTCATAAGGCATCTTCTCAAAACACACCACATGAAGCAGATCTCATAAGGCATCTTCTCAAAACACACCACATGAAGCAGATCTCATAAGGCATCTTCTCAAAACACACCACATGAAGCAGATCTCATAAGGCATCTTCTCAAAACACACCACATGAAGTAGATTTCATTAGACACTTTCTTGGTATTCCCTCCAACTCCAACTAGACTAACCATTTTTTCCCTAGATGTTGAAACCCGAGAAGTGAGTGAAGAAACTTCAGAGGAGACAGATGTAGAAGACCAGTTCTCACCAGTCTTAACTCAAACTTCTGAAGCAGCTTTCAGCTTCGAAGTCAGTTCTGTCAGTCACAGTGATGAGAAACACCAGAAAATACAATCCTCTGTAGAAATGAAAGGGCAGGAGGAGATGGTTCTGAAAACTTACACAGAGGAGAAACATGCAGAGATGGTACATGGAAATAGGGAAGCTGTGGGTCATGTTGCACTGGATGCTTCTATTGAAAGTGTGGAGCAAGGAATTGAGGATGCTGAAGTCAGTAGTGATTATGAAACCGTGAGAAAACACACTGAACCTGTGAATGTTGGAAGTGGGGTTAATGTGGATAAACAGGTTGAGTTAATGGAGGATCATGAGATGGACGAGGAAGTCGAGGATATTGATGATACAGAGCTGGAACCTGAACTGTGTGGACTTAGTCATAGTGATGACCATGAAGTTGAGGGAGAGGAGGAGGAGGAAGAAGTGGAGGAGGAGGAGGAGGAGATCATTAAGCATGAACTAGAGGGAGAAGAGCCTGGGGAGTTCTTTGATGGTGATGAAGATTTCAGGGAAGAGGAAGAGAGAGCATTAGAATCTGGAGTCTCAGTGGCGTATGAGAATTTGGCTTTTAGAGATGAAGATGTTCCAGAATGGAAAGGGGAATCATTCCCTGTGAAGAGAGGACTAGTACGACAAGAGACCAGAGATATTTCCCCTGAAGATCTGGAAGAGAAACCTCTGGCTTATGATTTTCCTGATGACTTTAAGGAAGAAATGCGTTTTCAGATGCACTATGAACAATCATACATAGACAGTACAGACATCACTGAGGAGAGTGATGTTCATGAGGGCTTAACAGTTACTCTAGAGCTTGTTTCACATGCTGATAAAAAGAAATCTTGGGAGGACGGTGTGGCAGAAGAGGAAGCTGTGACGGATCATAGATGGGAACCAACTGATGACATTGGAGGACAACATGTGAGCAAACATGTCACAGACATGACCAGTGTGGAGGCTACAGATGTGTCAGAAACCATTGGAGGAGATGAGGTCCAGGCTGAAGATGAGGATGAGTCTGAAGCCTCCTCTAGAAGCAGCTCAGACAGTGGAGGGGTAGAGGTGTTTGATGAGCACACTGGGCAGTACACCAGGTTACCTTGGGAAATAGCTCACCAGTACAAAAGGCAGTTCTCAGAATCCTTTATTGAAGAGCAGAAATCGGCACTCAAACCTCAAAAGTCCATTGACATGGGCACATTTTACAGGAGAGATAAATCAAAGGATGAAGAATTTTTAGAGAAAAGCTTTTACAGTGAGTCAGAAACATTGGATTCAGATTCAGTAGCAAAACGAAAAGTTACTTTTGTACTAGGGCAAGAGGATGTTCTGGGAGCAGCAGAGTATGAATATGAACCTGATGATTTTATCGAAGAAGAAATTGCAACACCTCATCCGTGTGAGCCCTATGAACAAATTGATGAGGCACATGATGTTGATGTCCTGGTTACAATACTAGAAAGTCGACAGCTTGTCAGGAGTGAGATAGCCAGGCAAGTCTATGACCCAGAATTTCCCGAAACCCCCAAACAGGACACAGAGTTTGATATAGAAGTCAGAACCAGATCTGTCCATTCAGAGTTTGATGAAAGTGAGGAAGATGCCATGTTGCTGTATCAGAGAGCATCAGAGGAGAGACACTATGCTCCTGAGCATCGCATGGGAATGATTAGTGTTGTCAGTAAAGAATCCAGAATGGCACAGCAAGAGTTACTTCTTCAGGAGTCTTTAGATGAGGAAGACAGATCTTTGTCTCCTTCAAGGGAAAGCTCCAGCAAGAAGCTGAGCACAACCTTTGAGGAAAGGCTGCCTTATACACCACCTGCGCATCCTACAGATTTCCCAATGGCTGTCCACAGTGTGGGTAAGTCCCTTGCAGACAATGAAATCTATGAATCCTCAGAAACCGAAAGAGATTCTACAGAAGATAAGTTGTCTCCTATTGAAGAGACTGCAGGAATTGATGAAATTGAGGAGGATGACACCACTCTGAAGTCAACACCCCCAGTAGAGAAGAAAGTTACTTTTCAAACAGATCATCTTACACCCAGGGTATCTGAGCAGTCAGTTGATGATTTCAAGGCATCCTCATCCTCGTCTGAGCTGTCTGTAGAACCCACCCTACTAGCAGCCAGCTATGACTTGGACACTGGAAGTGTCTGTCATGTAGTCACAGCATTTGATATTTCCCCAGACACAGTAGAGAAGCAGGGACCTATAGAGATTGCTGGAAAAGCAATACTATCTAGTCCAGAGGATGATGTTTTTGAAACAGATGCATTATCTCCACACAAAACCACAGCACTCTCTCCTGAAGGCCCTGTTGTCCCAAGGGGTCATTTATTATCAGGCACAGATGTATGCCCATCTCCACCCATTCCTATAGCTCCAGTGTCAACGCCAAGAGAAGGCTCAGAAAAAGAGGACTTGAGCAGCAGCCTGCAGTCTGCCAGCACTATACTAGAAATGCTGACACATGCTGAGAGAATGGATTCTAAAGATGGAGAGGATACAACTCTTCGAGATGATGACATGAGCTCTCCAAGAGAAGAAGCTGCAATAAATGACCTGAAGTCGGATGAAGAATCGCCCGAGCTGGAGTTTCCAGCAGATGCTGGTTTCAGTGAAACAAAAGAAAACGGCTTTGGCCTCCATTATGAAGAAGAAGAGGTCTATGAAGAGCAGTATATCAGTGGTGTTGTCGAGGCAGATCTCGTGCATGGTAGTCATCGGGGACATGTGCTGAATGGGCCCACTGAAGTGGATTACATCCCCGAATATGATCAAGGGGAGGACGAAAGCTTGCCGGTGAGGACGGACAGGCCAGAGGATATTGGTCACCCTGTGGCTGAGACATCCGAACCTAACCTTATAGAAGTCAGCAGTGCCAATTTTCTGGAGGCTAAACCTGATGTTCAACAGCCAGAGGAAGAACAAGAGGGTAGTAATGGTGGGACAGAAGAACCCATTCAGCCATCTGCTATCATTCTAAGCCAAGCAAAACCTGACATCCAGCAACCTACCAAAGATGATGAGGACGATCATGAACAGCCGGATGGAGAAAAGCGGATACAACGCTCTTTTGTGTCGTATGTAGAAGCTAAACCGGATATTCAGCAACCTACTAAGGATGATGATGATGATGATAAGGATGATGATCACCCAGATGGAGAGAAGCGAATACAGCCTTCTTATGTGTCTTATGTCCATGCCAAACCTGACATACATCAGCCTGAAGACAATGGTAGCGCTTCAGAAGGGCAGGTCCCTACCCAGCCTGTTGAGACTACAACCACCACCACCACGACCACCTCACAGGTTAGACCAGGCATTCATCATGCTCGAGGTGATGAACCAGATGGGGAAGATTTGATCCAGCCAGCAATCATGATCACTAGTCAGGCAAAGCCAGACATCAGACAACCTGAGGATGATAAAGGCAATGGATACCCAGTTGTGGAGCAACCTATACAACCCACTGTCACAACTGGGGGCCAGCTGAGACAAGAGGGGCAACCCCTAACATCCAGGCACTTCATAACAGGAAGTGAATCTGGCCTATCATTAACAGAAGTTGAGCAAGAAGGCGTCCAAGCATCAGACGTAGCTAGTGATGAAGAATTCAGCAAGAATGTGGAACATGACATTTCCATTACTAGATTTTCACCAGAAAGAGATGAAGGAGAAGATGTTGACCAGGAAACTTATCTCTTTAGAAAGGAAACTGTCTACCATGGCAAGAGAGCTTTGGAGAGTATGGCAGATACCACATTCAGTGAAGTCTATGAAGAAAGAGATGAAGCCATTCCAGAGGGATATGCCATGAGTGGAGAACCAGTGCTACAGCATGAGCCTGCTCTACAAGAAGGAGATGAAGAATTAGAATTGGAAGAAGAAGAAGAATTTGAGGAGCGACCAGAAGAGGAGTTAATTAGGTTGGAGGAACCAGCAGCAGAATCAGATGATGATGATGATGACGAGGAGGAGGAAGAAGAGGAATCTGCAGGTATGAGAGCAGAAGAATCCAGAGAACATGGTTACAGAGTGATAGCCACAGGGCTTTCCTCCACGGAACGGTTGTGTATCAGTTCAGGGTCTCAGTCTGACCTGGACAGACCTCTCTCACCCACACCTGATGCTCTGAGGCAAGGATTCTTTGGTGGCAACTTCACACCCCCACAGTCAGGAATGTACACGCCACCCATTAGTGGAGCATTCACACCACCTCAGACCTGCCAGGAGCAAAGTGCAGATGACTCTGGTGTCTTGGAGAAAACAGCAGTGACTCTTGTAGACTCTGTCCTAGAAGATGTGAAAGTGAAAGTTTCTTCCCAGGCTGCAACTCCTGAAGAAATCACAGAAGAAGAGTTTAGGAAAGGTTATGAGGCTGATATAAATATTACAGTAGATAGAGCTGCTGATCAGGACAGCACCACTCAGGAACTACCAGCTACAGGTGAGGATTATGAGTATAGTCAGCCAGTCATGTCCTCGGAGGTTGTCAGAAAACGAGGAGTGACACTTGTGAAGCAAATCTCTGAAGATATTCCTGGAATCATTTTAACACAACACTTGCATGAGGAGATGAATGAGGATGAGTATTATGGTTATTCTCCACAACCTGAGAGTATTTCAGAAGATGAAGAAGATAGATATCTCAAAGAAATTGCCAAGATGGTCCAACAGGAGAAGGAAGAATTTGGTGAAGCAACCGTAGTTGTAGCTCAGAAAGATACAGTTATTCAGGAATTTGGATCATTTGAGGATGTTAAGCTTGAGACTTTAGAATCACCTCCAGCAGGAGAATTTGTGACCGAAGACAAACCTCTCATTCCAAGCGCACCAGACATGGAAGCAGATACCACCACCTGCTATCACAGAGAGGATCATTTTTTAGTGGAAAGTGATCCAGGATCAGGCTTTGCATTTACTGAACCAGTGCACACCGCTAGTGAGCACGAGGGCCAACTGTATGTGAATGCAGAACTTGAATCTGGATCAGGATTCTTTGATGAGATGGAAGCAGGGGAGCCCATACTTAGCCCTGAAGATCATGCCGATTCTTCCAGTTTAGACAGCTTTGCCACCGTTGTAGCTGCTGAAGCTGATGAGGATGAGGAGTTTGAACCTGATGAAAACAGGCTGTTAGAAATTGCTTCAATGACATCCTCGTTCACTTCAGATATTCAGGTATCTTATCCAGACGAACGTCGGAAAGACAGCGCTGAAGACTTTGGCGATACAGAAGATGATGAACTGTCTCTGGAAAGATCTCAAGAGTGGTTATCTACAACACCAGATGAGAAGGATAGGGAGAGCGATGCTTCGAATGACAGTGATAAATTTGAGTTTGTGGACAGAGCTGCACTTTCAATCATCACAGAAATGTCAGATGAAGACAAATTTGAAATGATTGAAAGGGAGGATCTGGAATCGGAAGCGGGCTTGTCTGACCACTTTGGAAGCTCACCGGACACAAATGTCCAGCAGTCCCCAGGAATTTCCAACCTGCGTTTCTTCGGGCGAGGTGCAGAAAGAGATGATGCATCAATTTCATCTTCCTTGGCAGAGTTTGAGAAGCTAGAGAAAGCCATTCCAATTTCCAGTTCATTAAGTTCAATAGAGAGAGGTGACGGTGAAAAGGACAGTTTTGGAGGATCTTATGATGAAAGAAAATTTGTAGGTTTCCGAAAATTGAAAGAAGGTGAAGAGACCACTTCAATTGCATCATCCCTAGCTGAATTTGAACAACTTGAGCAAGCTCTTGTTGTATCTGGCTCAGCCAGTTCTGTGGAAAAACATACTCCAGAAAGCAAGAGCTCTGGGGGATCTGGTGAAAACACATCTAATTCTGTAGCTTCATCACTGGCTGATTTTGAGAGATTTGAACAGGAATGCCAAGGAGATTCTGATGAAAAGAAGAGCTCTGTAGAAAGTTCCAGCAGACCGAGTGAGGCATCTTCTTGTACTTCTCTGAATGAATTTGAAAGACTGGAGAGAGAGATTGCTGTAGCAGCGGAACTCGAAGTGGAAGCTCAAAAGATTGTCTCCATTTTAGAATCAGGAGTTTTGATGGAGTGTGCCAAGTTTGGAAGTGTTGATTTCAGTGAGGTTGATGGTGCAGATGGAAAAGAGAAAGATTCTGTAGACGATGATGGCCAAGAAGAAATAGATCATGATTCCCTCAGTGAGGAAGCCAGATTAGGGCATGAGGAAGATGCAGATTCTCTTGATGGTGAGAGCTCAGAAGTCACGGAGATGGCATCCAGTGTTGTATTTACTGGACCAGATCTTGCCGTATGTCAACCTGTACCTGCTGATTTTGACACAGATTCACTCCAAGGTGAAGCTCTCATGCAGTTGTCTTCAGATTCTCTTGTCCTAGAACAGAGATTGAAGTCATCAGACTCAACCAAGTTTGATACAGATTCACTCTTTGGTCAGGATGAGGGAATGGTCCAGTCAGGTGATTCCTTGGAGCTAGGAGGTCAGTCAAGTGGTGGACAATCCAGTGGTGGGCGCTCGAGTGAGAAACTGGAGGACAAAAACATTCCAGGTGATGATCTTATGCAAACATCTGCTGATTCGTTAGAGTTTGACAACAGCAAAGAGGAAGCCAAAGAAAGTGAAGAGAAAGATCAGCTGCAGCAGCAGCAAGATGACAGTGTCATGATGGTCTCTGTGGAATCAGCTGCCTGGAGCATGGGCAGCTCAGGAGGAACAGGACAGTCCATGTCAGAGTCTCACACAGATTCTAGTCATTCCCATGACATCATGCAGGTGTCCACAGATTCAGACATCCTCAAATCAGGAGCCAGGCCAGAGAAGATCAGCGTTCTCAGTGAACAGCTGTTTGCATCGGACAGGGCAGCTGCCAAAGAAGGCCACGAGGTTCAGCAACAGCGACATCAGTGGCATCAGGCTGAATCAGTATCTGTTGTGCAACATGTCACAAGCAGCTCTTCCCATCAACATCAGTCACTTTCAGAAAGCAAAACCAGGCCAAAGAGAGAATCCCCAAAATTTGCGGAGTATGAAGAGCCTGAAAAAGAAGGCAGTCTTTACTTAGCAAAAGGACCTTACCAGGAATCAAAAAAGGTTTACACTATGGCTGAATGGGAGGCAATGAAACAGGCCAGACGGGAGAAACAAGAAACAGAAACCAAGTCCTCTGCCCTTTCATCCTCATCTCCTGAACTGTCTCAGGAGTCAGATAGAGATGAGAAGCAGACTCCCCCCTCCCAGTCCTATCTAGGCATGCCACCCTCTCAGCAGACGAGTATGACCTACATCTCCACATCAACCACAACCACTTCCTATTATAGAGGTACTGCTAAAATGTCACCTTGTCTGTAGTTGTCTTCATCTTCATTGCTTTTGTTCAGTTTTTTTTTTTAATCACTCATACTGTGTGTTGCATAATTGTGTTTTAATTCTTTCAGTCCCAAATAACTTTGCTGCACATTCCCTGTATTTCAGAGGGCTAAAATGAACAGTTGCTTGGGTTGCCAGATTTTGTTAGTATAATATGACCAAAATTTGAAAGACAGAACAAATTTTGTGATGCTTGGAATCTAAGCAAACAAGCCAAATAACACTTGCATTGTTTGGGACTGAGGGAGTTTAAAATGTGTTTGTTGAGGTTAGCATTAACTGACATGTCTGCTGCCCTACCTAACTGAAGAAAATTAACATCAAAATCTAATGTAGCTGTTAATTTGTTTAATTTACCCTATGGTTATACTTTTGAGATGTTTCCTTTATATCCATGAATATCACCACTTTAGTTTTGAATCTCAAATCAGGGGAACAACTAACTGTTAACTTCAGTAGTAGGTGAAACTAAATGAGAGAAAAATCCTTCACCAAACATATGCTTTGAGAGACTAAGAATTGGTGTTTAATCTCCAGTTTGCTTGCTGACTCTTTTGTTTATTTTGTAGCTTATTTGTGTTGAATCAGAGAAAGCTAATACCTGTCAATTGATGGAAGCATCAGTAGTTTGTGAGACTTGGTGATCAAGTGGCTAGCACACTTGCAAGTCGTTATCCCCGAACCTGAGTGTTGCGTGCTCATCCATTTTATAGATCTACATTTTTTGTATGCAGAATATTAGTTTTTTTTGCCTCTCGGGCAGATGCACTCTGACTTTAAATGAATCCCCCCAGATTAGTTTCTCTTAGGACATGCTTATTGGGGAGGCAGTGGGTTTGTTCTTGACTTTCCCCACAGTGGGGTCCCGGAACCCACACGGAGAATAATAATTCAGTGTTGCCCAACTGTGATGCATGATAGAGTGATCTAAAAGGGGTGTTCATCATTCTGTATTGTACCACCGTGTACTAGCGTGATGCTGACCACAGCAATCATCAAGTGCCAATTGGTCTATACAATGTAGGTCTAGCCCTATATGCCCAGTTTGCCTGAGGGCGTGGAAAACGGTCCATTACTTTTTTATTGTTCTTTCATACCACCGTACACGTATGAAAAATGTTGAAGCACATGGCTATGCCTTAGTTAACAAATATAATTGATAGACAGATTTTTACACTATCAAATGTCAAAGCAAAATTAAGTGCTCAGAAGACATGTAGGCATGTCAGTAATGTATAGTCATGTTATACAGTGTATATGGGCAGAAGATCACGCAGTGTTAAACATGATAATCAAAACAGACCTGTCACAGATATCTGTTAAAGTTGTTGATTTCATTTATTAATTATTGGTCTGTCTCTTTCTACTCTTAATCTCTCTTTTTTTTCTGCTAATTATCGGTTTTTCCCTTGTAGTCTGACCATTTCTGCTAAAAATTTAATTTTCTGCATTGCATTTAACTTGACTATTCATAATGTAAACTACATTTAACTTGACTCTTCATAATGTAAACTAATAGTCAGTCTCTAAAGTCTTTCTGTTTTGGCTAATAGTCTGTCCCATTTCTACTTATGATGTATTATTTTCCTCACTGGTGCGAGTAGACACATTATGATGTGATATTATTTGTGTGTGTCATTAAGCACACATACTTTTTCTGTAGAATTTGATCAGACACCATTTATCACATCCTGTTCACAAATTGTTTAGCGAAATTTACTATTTATGAAAGATGAAAGGACCTGTTCAGGAGAGATAATCATCAAGTATTAGCATGAACATGCATCAGTGGTTTCTTTCCCTTGAATGTTTGACATCCTTAAAGTGCTGTCTCTTTAACTCTTTAATGAAACTAATTTATAATTTCTGCTTGTTAATTTCTAATTTCTGCTTGTTGCTGTGGCCTATGCAGGCTAAAAATTCAGTCTCTTTTAGAACATTCGTTTTGTTTTCTCTTTCAGTTGAAAAACTGTTTTTCATCCTTGGGGATGAGTTTGATTTTAAAATAAATGCATACACAAGTATTTTTATATTGTATTTTGTCAAATAGAAATAGACATATTTCTCCTTGCTGGCGTGATGCTACTGACAAGACTGTTTGTTCAATCAGTTCTCACTCAAAAAAGAAAATATGTTAGTTGCTGCTTCCTATCTTGCTGTCCTGTAGGGAAATTCATTCGTGTCTGCGTCAGATATTTAGATGATTCTTGACAGTTGAGAGGCAGTAGGTTCTGCGATTACTGATCCCTAATGTGAAGTTTAAAGAAAGAAAACCTGACCACCTAGATTGCAGTTACTGAGTAGTAAATACATTTCTGGATGATATTTTGCCCATAGACACTTAGTTGTAGATGTGTTTGCTTTATTGTCATCATCATCATCACGAACTGTTAATTGTGGTCACTGTGCTTATACTTATTTGTTATGTAACCTATTGGCATATTTGTTGTGTGATTTTGAATGTATTAGATTAGAATATTACACCATTTCATTGCATTAAAAAAAAAAAGGGGCGCTTTAGCAAATCTGACATAGCGATACTTTTTTTTTTTTTACACTAGCTAATTTTATTACATTTCTCTTATTAAAACAAACCAGTTCATCTTCATAATAAAAAAAAAAAGAATAGTCTGTGGATCATGGTAGGAGCCCAAGGAATTGGTAGCAGTGGTGATTAAACTAAAGTGTCCCCTTTTATTAATTAAGTCATTGGATGCAACTTTCAAGAAGGTCAGGAACTTGATCTGTGTTGTCTAATGATATATTGAGGATGTCGTCGAGGTGTATTTCCACAGCCAGTGGCCCGCTTAGTGAGGAAGGGAGTTGTATGGCTATGCAAAACAGTATCACGCTGTCAAACTTGAGGACACCTCCTGACACCATTTTTGTGGCCTGCATCACTCAGCTGACACTTGCAATTCTTTTAAGATCCCTGGAGAAAATTTTTGGAGTGAATACTTTATGTGATTCACTCAACAGATAGCCAGCCACACTGAAAAGAGAGACTGAGCCGTTAGAGATAGAAACCTAGTGCATTGAGGTCAGTCATCTCCTTTAAGCCATTTTGTATGGCTTAGAGAACATGTAATTAGCTTGTTCTTTTAGGGTTTACAGGAGTCATGGCTGTGATATCACTATGTTTCAAGCTAGGAAAGTTCAGGGTTCTAATCCCAGCATAAGCCGCACATTTTCACAAGAACCATTGGTGTCTAATGGTAACTGACATCCCTCAGGTCTCTTTGGTAATGAGATTGGGTACCCAGCTTTCTCAGATAAGGGTACACATTACAGGAGCAGCTGAGTGCAAGCTGTGCATGTTTCAAACTGTATGGTGGATGGAAATCACCTCAGTTTATGTAAGCAGCTGCCCTCTTAAAGTTTTTAGACAGGAGTCTACTTACAGATAGAACCAGTTCATTTTCAGCGATCTCTGGTCATGCGCATAATCCACTGTGGGTCATAAACTGGGATGTCTTTTCAAGGTCTCTTAGGTTTCCCCAAAGCTTAGTTGTCAGTTCTACTGGGTGTTGCCATATGTCGCTCCGCCAGGAGAGGACAGTCTCAGTTCATTTTAATGAAATCTATCTAGAGGAAGCAGATATTTTACAAGTGCCTGGGGAAGTTAAATACATTGACCTTCGAGGTGCATAACTTTGTAGTTACCAACAGTTGAAAATATACCACGTGTAATAAATACCTCATCTACAGTTCGTAAAATGAAAGTCAAGAAGATCGACTTCCTTGCCACAGGTTCAGAGCCATCAACTAAGTTAACTCAGGGGCCAAAATCTTGGGAAATGGTAATTATCGTGGGCCAGGGCCCGAGGCCCATCATGGAAATATCATGAATACAATTAAATCAGCTACCAGGCCTCTGCAGGCCAGATCTGGCCTATGGGCCACCAGTTGAAAACTCCTGCCCTAGCCGATCACATGTGCCTTGAGCTGACTCTGCAAAATGGCAAGCTGTCCTGTCGAGATCATCACACAAAGCACTGACTCTGTAGCTTTAGTTGTATTCCCAGCAATCTCTGAAGAAAACAAATTACATTCTTGAACTGAACAAACCATGACCTTCAGAATGTGACGCAGATGGCTTGACCAATTCACCATCAGTCTCTCACCATGTTGGACATGTGTGAGAAGTCAGGTGTATGAGAAATGAGAAAGCTGTCAACTTTATCCCAAAGAAAGCTTCAACTGCTGTAAAATTCAGTCATCTTCTTTGTTCACTGGCTGTAAGCTCTGTCGGAAAGTCCTGGCTGTTCGTCCATCTGGACTTTGGCTTTGTGCGTGTACATCATTTTTACTGGCTTATTTGTGCAGCTATTGTTTCTTGCCGCTTGGGCGGATGCACTATACTGACTTCGAAGGAAGCTCCTAATTGACTCCTACGACGTGCATGTTGGGGCGGCATGGGTCTATTCTTGTTTCCCCACAATGGAGCCCCAGAGCACCCACAGGGACACATACAGTCCAGCTTACCATGAGTTCGTTGAAATTCTTATGTTTCATTGTTTCGAGTTATAGCCATCATAAACTTTTTTTTTTCATTCGGGAACATAAAAATTAGAATAATAATAAAGAATAATAACAATAAACATCAGAATGTGGTTTATGCAGCAACTTAATAGTACAGAGTTAATGTGCCTGCTGCTAAATACCATCAGTATAGTCAACTCCAAAACTGCCTTACAACGAGGGAGTATCTGCTTTTGTGTGTATCCTGTGTGGCAAAGACTGCCATTCCCGCATCGGACTTTACAGTCATAGCAGATGCTGTTCCCAAAGCCAGCGGCACATCTCCATAGTCCCCCGGGACTGACGGATGCCATTAATTAGTGAACTAAAATACCATCAGTATAGTCAACTAAAATACCATCAGTATAGTGAAATAAAATACCATCAGTATAGTCAACTAAAATGCCACCAGTATAGTCAACTAAAATACCATCAGTATAGTCAACTAAAATGCCATCAGTATAGTCAACTAAAATGCCATCAGTATAGTGAACTAAAATACCATCAGTATAGTCAACTAAAATACCATCAGTATAGTGAACTAAAGTACCATCAGTATAGTAAACTAAAATGCCATAAGTATAGTGAACTAAAATGCCATAAGTATAGTGAACTAAAATACCATCAGTATAGTGAACTAAAATACCATCCGTATAGTGAACTAAAATACCATCAGTATAGTAAACTGTTCAGTATACTGTGTATAGTGAACTGCTGAGTGTAGCTCAGTATAGCTTACCATCAGTATAGTCGCTAAAATGATGGCATTAGTTGTCTTCTAAATTCAGTTAGTAAATTGATTTAGTACCATGGTTAGCTTCTAAAATACCATCAGTTGCTGCTGCTCAGTAAGTCAACTACCATGTTTGTCTATTGATTTAGTCCATCAGTATAGTCTCTCTGTTGCTGCTGTATAGTGAACTAAAATGTTTCAGTCTATTGATTTAAAATCCATCAGTTAGTTCTCTCTCTGTTCATCAGTATGCTGCTGTAAAATACCATGTTTAGTCTATTGATTTAGTCCTTCAGTTGCTTCTCTCTCTGTTGCTGCTGCTGTAACTACCATGTTTGTCTATTGATTTAGTCCTTCGTTGCTTCTCTCTCTGTTGCTGCTGCTGTAACTACCATGTTTGTCTATTGATTTAGTCCTTGGTTGCTTCTCTCTCTGTTGCTGCTGCTGTAACTACCATGTTTGTCTATTGATTTAGTCCTTGGTTGCTTCTCTCTCTCTGTTGCTGCTGCTGTAACTACCATGTTTGTCTATTGATTTAGTCCTTGGTTGCTTCTCTCTCTCTGTTGCTGCTGCTGTAACTACCATGTTTGTACTTGAAACTGTTTGTGCAGACAGTTTCCTCTACACACAAGGTGCCCCTTTCTGTTTTGCTTCGTCAGTTTAATACAGACTGTGATTTCATACCCCCATCTGTGTCTCCTTCTCTTTGTTTTAGCTTGTCACTATTTCTAATTGTGTTTCTTTTATGTAGAATATGATTGTGTTTATTATCTTATTTCTGTTTATTTAGTTACATTTGCTTACATTAATTTTCTGTATTGTTTTCTGTTTAGATTTTCAGTTTATTTTTTGTGAACTATTCCTGTAATGCTTAATTTTATATTATTGTTATGAACATTTAATTAAAGCTGTAATGATTTGTAATGTTAATTTGTTGAACAGATTAATCTCTATCAATAGCAAAAAAAATCTCGACATGCTAGAATGCATCAGAAAGTATAGTAAGTCAAGTCAAGTAACAAGCCTCTGTTCACCCCATGGGGTGTGTTCGGTTTGTGAAGCTGGTCTTCTGTTTCGAGACAAAACTTCACTTGATGGCTTATAGCACTGTCACATTGGCCACAATTGCTACCCAGAAAATGTTATGGTACTGACTGAGTTGGCCTGGATCAGTGAGGGAAATATATCCTTGTTTCAAACACAAGATCGTCAGATGTACAAGCAGGTGTGCTAGCCACTGCATTACCATAGCTCCCGAAGGTCCAGATCCTCGTCCATATTGTCTGTGTCTGAAAAGTGGCACAAGTGACTTTTTCCCTTAGAGAATCGCTGTCACTTGACACAGATAGCTGTCACTTGACACAGATAGCTGTCACTTGACACAGATAGCTGGCACTTGATGCAGATAGCTGTCACTTGATGCAGATAGCTGTCACTTGATGCAGATAGCTGTCACTTGACACAGATAGCTGTCACTTGACACAGATAGCTGTCACTTGACACATATAGCTGGCACTTGACTCAGCATCGTTAGTGGTTCCTTAAATGACATGGAGAGAATCTCCTCACACAGTTCACAAACCATCACCCTTACTGCCAAGGCTGTGTGTCGGTGCTTTAGCCACTTGACTTCTTCAGTAGCTTCATGCTCATATCACTATACTGCCATGGCTTCAGTGTTTAACCCACTGTACTGCCATGGCTTCAGTGTTTAACCCACTATACTGCCATGGCTTCAGTGTTTTACCCACTATACTGCCATGGCTGCAGTGTTTAACCCACTATAATGCCATGGCTTCAGTGTTTAACCCACTATAATGCCATGGCTTCAGTGTTTAACCCACTATACTGCCATGGCTTCAGTGTTTAACCCACTATACTGCCATGGCTTCAGTGTTTAACCCACTATACTGCCATGGCTTCAGTGTTTAACTCACTATACTGCCATGGCTGCAGTGTTTTACCCACTATAATGACATGGCTGCAGTGTTTAACCCACCATACTGCCATGGCTGCAGTGTTTAACCACTATAATGACATGGCTGCAGTGTTTAACCACTATAATGACATGGCTGCAGTGTTTAACCCACTATACTGCCATGGCTGCAGTGTTTAACCCACTATAATGACATGGCTGCAGTGTTTAACCCACTATACTGCCATGGCTGCAGTGTTTAACCAACTATACTGCCATGGCTGCAGTGTTTAACCCACTATACTGTCATGGCTGCAGTGTTTAACCCACTATAAAGACATGGCTGCAGTGTTTTACCCACTATACTGCCATGACTGCAGTGTTTAACCCACTATACTATCATGGCTGCAGTGTTTAACCCGTTATACTGTAATGGCTGCAGTGTTTTACCCACTATACTGCCATGGCTGCAGTGTTTTACCCACTATAATGACATGGCTGCAGTGTTTTACCCACTATAATGACATGGCTGCAGTGTTTAACCCACTATACTGCCATGGCTGCAGTGTTTAACCACTATAATGACATGGCTGCAGTGTTTAAACACTATAATGACATGGCTGCAGTGTTTAACCCACTATACTGCCATGGCTGCAGTGTTTAACCCACTATAATGACATGGCTGCAGTGTTTAACCCACTATAATGTCATGGCTTCAGTGTTTAACCCACTATAATGTCATGGCTTCAGTGTTTAACCCACTATAATGTCATGGCTTCAGTGTTTAACCCACTATATTGCCATTGCTGCAGTGTTAAACCCATTATGCTGTAATGGCTGCAGTGCTCAAATCACTGTACTTCTTTTATGGCACCATACTTACATGAGCAAGTTTTTTTTTTTTTTTTTAATATCCAACATGGGATTATCACCAATGAAAGCTTTTTTAAATCAACTCTAGACTGACAACACATGAGGAACATTGATATTGTCGTTTGTTACTTAAGAGTCTAATAAAAAAGATGATAATAAAATTGGTTTGAATCATTTTTTTTAAGATTGTGTAATTTTGGTTTTTAGACAAGCTAAAAAATAGTTGAACAAAAATAGTCTACTTATCCACTTTTTTTATGTATACCTAACCATCATGTTTGTTTGGAAGTTTGTTCTTTAATTCATTCTCTAAATATAGTTTGATCAAATCAATATCACTGTATCTTTTTTCTCAGGTCAGAGAGACCCGGATCAGGCTCACACTAGTGATAGTGATGATGAAATCAATCAAGGTGGCAATATCTCCTAGCACAGCACTCTACATGTGGCTTCTCGATGGTTTTTATTTTTTGATTGTTTTTATTTTTATTTTTTTAAGTACATTGTTAGGTAACAGGCACACCATACTACCTGTATGTTGGCTTAAATCAAGCCACAAATTCTTGCATTTATATTGTAGATATACACTAGGCAAGACAACCATTGCTGATGATTTTAAATATCATGTGTATTTTTAAATCATCCAAGTAGTTGCTTTTAACAGGTGTTTTTTTTTTTTTTTAAACATTCCCACACATAGTGTGATGTGCTTGTTGCAGTAATCTTTATATATTGTGTGTTGTATTTCCCATCAGTTACATTCAGTGTTTTTATATAACTTTCTTTCGTACATTGTTTTTTATGAATGTGAAAACATGATTTCACAGAAATGTGTTTGTGCAAAGTTTTTTTTAGCCTTTTATATTAACTGCCATTGGCAAAGTTTGTTTAACAGCCCCAAATTGCAATCTTTTTTGGTGATATTTAAGTTGACCTTATGTGGCTTATTTAACTAGCAAAAGATTTCTGGATAAGTTGCTGAATTTTTTTTTTTTTAAATTAACTTAGATGTATGTTTTAAGTACATTTGTTATATTTATTGTTTTATTTTTTTAAATTCATATTTCAGCTTTCACTTTATAGCACCTAAAATGGCCTAAAATCTGACAACCAAACATAAGTCAGCAGCCCTGTTTTACTCTGTGTAGTGCCATCCTGGCATATACAGCTACCGTAAAAAGTAAATATAGCAGTACTTTTTTTTTTGGGGGGGGGGGGGGGGGGGGGGGTTACTGTTTCTGTCTTCCAGTCATTTACCACAATGAAAAAACACGAGTATTACTTCCAAAGAGGTACAGTTCTGCAGCGTTTTAAAATATAAAATATTCAGCCAGATTTCTTCAGTAATTTCAGACCAATCAGAAGAGTGCCATAGCATGCAGTGTGATGTTTGGGACAAAGATTGAATACAGTGAGCTGTCATAAATGATTTTGGAATTCTTTTGTTTTTATTAATTATGTAAACAGTATCTAGGTTTGATGAAGCATGTATCAGGGTAATGAGTCTTTCCTGTTGACATTTTTTTTGTTGGCTTTGGAGGACAACTATTGTAGGATATATTCACTTTGGCTGCCTTGTAAATCTATATGTGGTAGTTTAGAGTGATCTGTAGTGAAGTGATCTGTACAGATAGTTTCTAGAGGATAGAGTTGTTCACTTCTGAGAGATTTGACTCCACCGATAGCCACATAAAGAAGGTTTTGTTGCCAGCTAGGAATGCAACCCTCACTGTGAAGATGCATAAGGATGTCAATCTATCATCTTAGAATGCAGACACATAAACCAACAACATTTGACCACTGTCAGTATATCTGACACGGATGTTCTAAAACCCAGAAGGAGACCTGAACAATAAGAACTGACATAAATATTCTTATGGTTGTAATCACGATTCTGTTATTTTTGTTTTCCAATTTTTTTTTTTTTATTGATACCAGTTTTTCTTTTTTTCTGTAAACACTTCTTATGTTGATTCAGTTTGAGGGTTATTGTGTAGGCTTCTGTTGCCACATTTTCAACACTGATACAATCAGAAAGTTCTTTTACCCCACATTTTGTATATAAGTTAACTGGAAACTGAATTGTTTCACATAAAAGGGAGGGGGGGGGGGGGATTAAACATGTCTTATTAATTATTTTGTGATCTTGCAGTCAGGTTGGCCGTCCACAAGTCAGTTGTCTTCTTCTTTCTTCCCGCTAATTATTTTTATTTTTTTTTATTTTAAATATCAAAAACATATTTATTTGGGATGTTTATAATGAAAATACAAGGTACATGTAATGTGCCTAATATAATACCTCAATTTTCACTGAATCTGCTTTTTTTTTTTTTTTTCCAGTAATTTAAGCTTCTTGATAATTTTTATTTTTTTTTATTCAGAATGTGATTTTGAATTACTTAAATTGTTTGTAAAAATTGTTGTATGCCATCACACATTACATTTTGTTGATGTTTGTGTGGAGATTGTTGTATAACATCCATTATCACAGTGGAGATGTGCTTTAGTTGCAATCATCTGTTGCTACATTATATGTGCTCTTCATATTTATGTGCATTTCTTTTTTTTTATTTTAAATACTTTTTCTCATGTTGCAGCAGCTTTGGGGGATAGACAAGAAAATATAAACTTGTGTTAAGACAGATATAGATTTGTCATGGTTTATTCAGGGCATTTTGAGATGGACACTGTGATAATTCACTGGTGAATTGAGCTAAAGTTAGCACACTGTGATACTTAGGAAGTGAAATCAACTGTTCACATTAAAATGTTTCAGAGGTGAATCAAACTGTAGTTAGTATATTGTGATGCTTGCTATGAACAAAAGCAGTTTGTTGGATTTAGGGCTTGTAAACAAACTTACTTGCATTCTGAATGCTTGACAAGTCATCTTGTCATCGTAAGCCACATGTACTGACATGAACTCCAGAGGCCATCTTCCAGTCCTATTTTGAGAAGATTTGTGCATTGAGAGACTACATAAAGTTTACGTCAGCTAACCCATAATTTATCAGCATTGCATGATTCTTGAAAATATTGTAGTTGAAGGCATGTTTCCACGATTCTCATTATCAAATGCATGACATTAAAATAATCATTCGCTAGCTACATAGTTCTTTCCACAATCATTTGCTGGTCACATGTCTTTCTCTACGGTAATTCGATAGCAATCTATTTTGTTTGTGTATTGCTTTCCAAACAGGTTCTAAGAATATCTTGGGTAAAGAAAAGAACAAATGCATCCATACTTCAAGAGCTGAATATTGAAGAGGGTTGGCTAGTAAAGACAATAAAACAAAGACAATTGAAATATTTTGGTCACTTGAAACGTCATGGAAGTCTAGAGAGAACAATAATGGAGGGGTATATGCCTGGGAAGAGAGGAATATACTTATTTTTATATCTGGCATTTGAAATTTACATAGTGAGCCTTCTGGCTTCTATTTATAATTATGAGATTCAGTATTATATTTTGTGTCGATAGACGTGTGTTTGAAGAGTAAACTTTGATATTACGATATGCCAGATTTTAGTGTTGCTTACAACTGACATTAACCTTGTACAAACATCATATCCCCACAGGCGCAGATTTCCAGGATTTTGCTGCTGATGATGATGTCCAAACTCACAGGTAGGCTGCTGTAGCGGTCAGTCTTTATGAATTATGTGAATTAGACCAGACTCACAGGTAGGCTGCTGTAGCGGTCAGTCTTTAGTGAATTATGTGAATTAGACCAGACTCACAGGTAGGCTGCTGTAGCGGTCAGTCTTTAGTGAATTATGTGAATTAGACCAGACTCACAGGTAGGCTGCTGTAGCGGTCAGTCTTTAGTGAATTAGACCAGACTCACAGGTGGGCTGCTGGTGCAGTCAGTCTTTGGTGAATTAGACCAGACTCACAGGTGGGCTCTTGTTGCAGTCAGTCCTGGATGAATTATGTGAATTGACCAGACTCACAGGTAACTACTGTCACAGTCAATCTTTGGTGAATTAGACCAGACTCACAGGTAGGCTCTTGTTGCAGTCAGTCCTGGGTGAATTATGTGAATTGACCAGACTCACAGGTAGCTACTGTCGCAGTCAGTCTTTGGTGAATTAGACCAGACTCACAGGTAGGCTGCTGTAGCGGTCAGTCTTTAATGAATTATGTGAATTAGACCAAACTCACAGGTAGGCTGCTGTAGCGGTCAGTCTTTGGTGAATTATGTGAATTAGACCAGACTCAAAGGTAGGCTGCTGTAGCGGTCAGTCTTTGGTGAATTATGTGAATTAGACCAGACTCACAGGTAGGCTCCATCTGGTGATCCATCTGCTCCTCTGAACTGTAGCCGGTCTGAGGAGAAACGAGGCGTACACAGTACGGGTCTTTGCCGTCGAAGTGGGAGCGAGAGGCCTCATTTCCACTTTGCTCTACAATATGGTTAAAGAACTAGGATTGCGCGGTAATGAACGGAAACGAACACTTAAAAAACTGGGCGAGGCAGCCGACTTTGAAAGTCCATCGTGTCCGAATTGTCTGCCAGCGTTCCTCTGCCACCTGCTAACAAAAGTCCAACATGTGTCCGGTAAACCAAACGTAAGCTTGTCGCTCGGTCCAGGCATGCTGACTGTTCTAATTAGGTGCCGCGACGACTTAGATCCACAGTACCTTCTGCAAACCACCAAGTCGTCTTGTCTCTATCCGAAAGAAAAACACCATCCGGTAATTTCGAGCAGCAGGGTACCAGCCCTGAGCTTCATGAACTCAGGTGGGCCCACCTCCGAAAGCGTCTAGGAATCGTGGGCCGAAACGCGTGTTGACGAGGATAATTTCTACTGACGACTGGTAGATCCCTGCTGTACTTGCTCCCTGTGAGTTTATTCCTATTGTACACGCTCGCTCCCACAAGGCACTAACTATGTCTGCCTTATGCATCAGTATTCCACTAAGTTGTGCAGAGCCAGCCAGTCTGTTCGCCTGTTAATTTTCCAACACACCAGTGTGCCCCAGTGAAAAAATCCAGACAGTACTTTGCAATTGTGTCCTCCGCAGCGAGGCATGCCACTCTGCACGAAGCATGCCTGTCCTGATCTTCCTTAGCAGGCTTTCTGAGTCAGTTACAATCACAACGTGTGTGTGTTGTGTTCTCTAGCTAGGGGAAAGCTGCAGTGACCACCTCCACCTCCATTTTTAAGCTTGATGTTGCGGTATCATATACTAGGCTCTCCTGCACCAAACATTGACCATTAACTTTTGCTAAGAACCCCCAAGTACTTCTTTTGCCCCTTGACACTAAACAATCTGTGTAAATGATCAGATCCTCTGAGCGAGCATTATCTTGAATTAATTGCTGAATGTCCATCTCATTGTGATTAGGACCCTGTATAATGACCACAGCTCTAGCAGGGTCTGAAGTAATATGCAGAATTTCAGTTATTATTAAACATGAAGGATTAATTATTTCTTTGATTAAGAAGAAGAACCTGTGGCTCGGCACCTGTACGTGATATAAGAGTCAACATTTTGAGATCATGCACCATAACCTTGACAACATGTGGACATCATTCGTCCACTCTTAACTCATTCAGTAAAGAAAAAAATCTGAGCTTTTAAAATTAAATGCTACAAATTCTTAGAACACCATGGACCAAAAAGAAGAAACTTGTTTCAACAGATCAAAAAAAGGGAAGTGGGGGGGGGGGGGGGGACTGTAAGGTTGATGTTCCAGAAGTTCCCACCCTAGATGGTTAATTTTCTCCTGAGTTAACCAAGCCGTATATAGTCTGGTATTGTCATGAAGGAGCAGTACTCCTCTAGTCAGCAGGCCTGGACATTTTCTTCCAATTGCATTATAAAGCATCGATAAAATTTTACAGTGTAAATCAGCATTCACATTGTCACTTTTTTTTTTTTTCAAATTGGTTAAAAGCTCTCCTTGACAATCTCAAAACACTGTCCGCATAACTTCCATGCTGATGGCATAACCTTGAATTTTTGACACAAGGCGAAGAAGGATTTTTGCATTGCACTGAAGCTTTGATTCTGGATGGTAGTGATGCATCCATGATTCATCCCCAGTAATAATCCTGTTCAGCATGTCTTCTCTTTCATCTATGTATCGACAGAGATGCTGCAAGGACAGGCCTTATCTGTTCATTTTGCGTTTGTCCGCCAGTTGTCTGGGTACCCACCTTGAGCACACTTTCTTAAATTTCAAGGGATCATGCATAATGTTATATGCTGAACCAGGTGAGCACCCTACTGCAGCTGCTACAGAGTCAGTCGTTACTTGTCTGTCACCTCTAATCCTCTCCTCCATCCGCTGCACGGATGCGTCTGTTGCAATCTCAACAGGCTGACCAGATCGGACGTCAGCTGTATACTGCTTGTACGGAATAAAAATTTGTCAGCATAAACAGAAAGAACTTCCTTATAAATGTCCTTTGCAGGCAGCCTTTTTGCCCAAAACGAACACACAGCAGCACAATGTTCTTTGAGGGTACACTCCATACCATTTCTGTTTCTATGTTACTCGTGCACAAGCAACACCTAGCGCCACCTAATGTACGGAGACGCAAAGTCTTGCTGACACCTAATGACACCTTTAGAAACCACTAGCTACATTTTCCTGATATCCCATAACTTTTTGTGACGTATTTATTGACTTCCCCTCATAATTAAAAACTTTATTAATAAAATACTGAAATGAAACTATTGTGATAACAGTTAGGTTATAAGTTAGACTGTCTAATGAAGCCACTCAGTTGTGATCTATTATGTTTGACATCTGCAGGGTTGTCATGAAGAAAGAAGTCCACAAGCGGACAATGCTGGGGGAAGATGGGCAGGAGCAGACACTTGTCAGAGAAGACTCTCAGATCCAGCAGGACAATGAACCTCCCGAGGAACTGCAGGAGTCCATGCAGGAAATCATCAGACAGTTCATGGAGTCGGATCCTCAGCCTGGACAACTGCCAGAGCGTAAGTCTCTGGAAAATGATGTCTAAAGGAGAGACCTTCAGCTGACTGACAAGGTCATGGATCATCACTTGCTTCTCATGGAAATAATTTATTCTAATTTGCTGTAAAGAAAATAAAAATTTAATTAGAATGTCGTTGTGTTCTCCAGAAACTTTCTATTGGATCATGTCTGCTTATTCATTGTAGATATTGCATTGTTCCACCTGTGATTGTAGGCAAGCAATGTAGACAGTGTTGACCTGTATTCTAGTCCTCGTGTTTATGGCTAAAACATCGTTGTCTTAAAGTGAGAGAGAATCATTCGTGTGACCAGGAGATGAAAGCAAGTTAAATCAGGCAACAAACAGTTGATGGGAATTTAGATTTTTAAAAAAGGAAATCAGCAGATTGACATTTGTGCCAGAATTTTTCTGAAACTCATTTTTGAGCATTGAAACTTCTAAAGTGTCGGCCTGATCAGTTTTATACTACTTAACTCCTTTTTTTTTTTAATGTCACCACACTACACTAAGAAATGTTATTTAATTGTTAATCTTTTGTTTTTAATTTTTTAAAATTAAATCATGTCTGTGTGTTTTCTAAGTAATATTTATAATGTTTGTTTGCCTGCTATTGCTTTATGTGTAGCTTTGTACAGAAATTCTTCATGCATGATCAATTCCTGTAGTTAGAAGCTTGTACTCAACCTACATCATAGTTGTATGTAAACCTTTCTTGCCATCGCAGGAGTTTAGGTCCAGCGTAATTAGGTTTCATTTGTGAAGAATGCAGGAGTTATTCTGACTTGTATACCTGCAGAGTTAGAGATTGCTTCTGGGGCAAAGTTACTTTGTTTACAATGACATCAGTACTGTAACTTTACTACACTTTGTGAACTTGTAGAGTGAACTAGGTTCATTATGTGTTTGAAGAATGTTAAGTTTTCACTTCTCTTTATTTTGTTTCTCTTTTGTTGATCCAGGGAAAGAAATTACAAATGTGTTCTTGTTTAATATCATTCAATATTGTTGTCTGTGTTGATAACAGTACACAATGCCAGTGTTGTTTTCATTTCCACACACACAGTTAAACCAACATTTAACCATTTTTTGTCATTATTTAAAAGAATAATATAATTTTTGCTTAAAAATGTGTTTAACTTTTAAATATTAGCCTTCCATTACTAAAATATGAATGTTTATTATTAAAATAGAGAAGTAAGAGATGGGATAACATACAGATGCTATAACTGCAGATTCGGGATATGTCTTGATTTATACACTCTTGAAATAGACTACAGCAATTTATATAACCAGTAAATAATTGCTTGTTTGTTGGTCTCAGAAGCTGCAGATGTACTACTTAAAATTACTTAACATATTTCATCATCATAATTTATATTCTAATTTATACAATATATACATCATGGGTGTCATTATAAAATCGATGTAATTTCCCCCAACAGTGTATTATGACTTATATTTTGTAGTCACACGATCTTCAGCATGTTTCCTCACACACCTGGCAGGCTCACACTTGTGTTATGTCTTTGATCTGTTTCATCATTGTCTCTCAGTGTAGCAAACAGCCCTTTCTTGTTAGCTGGTTACAAGTTTTGTCATTAAACTGCTTTGGCATTGATATTGTATGGGCATTCTGTTGTGTGTTTGTGTGAAAGCAAATGACTGGAAGATGGGATGCAGATGTGCTGAACCTTACCTGGATGTACTGGACGTGCTGGACCTTACCTAGATGTGCCGGACCTTACCTGGATGTGCCGAACCTTACCTGGATGTGCTGAACCTTACCTTGATGTGCCGAACCTTACCTGGATGTGCAGCAAGACCAGCGCTTATTCTGGTCAATACCTGTATATACATCTCTGGTCATCCTGGAAATTCTTAATCCACTCGGCCAGCGCTCCTCACACATTTAATTTGTGAGTTAAAATACACTGTCAAATCCCCTCTCCACTCTGCCTTCAGCGTCCAGCCACTGATGAAGCCAGTCCGATACCCTGTTGACATACTTTTGCCCACTTCTGCTGTTTCACTAACTATGCCAGAGGTTAGAAATAGACAGCCTTTGTGTCCATGTAGCATTCCAAAAGTCAGACATGGCCAATTGGACAATAACTTGCTACTTGTTCACAGAGCGCGATTGGCCTTGCCTAACCTTTTCTACCCTATCATTCTGCTAGCAATCTTGTTCATAGCTGTGTCACCCGCTGCCCTGATTGCTGCCAGACTTGGAGGATTTCATTTGGCCAGACGTGATAGAAACATGGTACAGTCAAATTGTAACAAGTAAAGGACCCTTTTCAGTGCCTTTCAGGTGTATTGAGTATATAGGGCTAGCCCCTATATTTTATAGACTAAACGGCACTTGGTGTGTGATGTGGTCAGCATAACGCCGGCCGCCTTTACTTCCCAATAATGTGCCTGGTACCCACTTAAGGCTGGGTTGACCTAAAAGACAAGGTCATTTTTGACAAAAATCTTGGCCCTCGCCAGGGACCAAACCCATGACCTTCCGATCCGTAGCCGAGCATCTAGCCGCTTGACCACAGCGGCTTCCACGATAAATTGTGGCTCATTTACTAGTATCCGAGAAAAGTAGCTGAATACCCAATTTTGTTGAATTATATATTCGTCTCGCTTTTCTCCTGAGTGTCGAGCGTCGGCCAGATTTTCCTGGTAACTTCTCTCGGCGCCGTTTTCATCAGACTATAATGATCTGTTTGTGCCTGCTTACTGTTCACTGCCTCCCAAAGGGCCCTTACATCATCTAGCTTGTCATACATCATTCCACTACCAAGTGGCGTGGAACCAACTGGTATAACTGCTTGCTCGTTTCCCAACACACGACACCGACATCCCCCCCCCCCCCCCCCCCCCCCCCCCCCCCCCCCCCCCCCCCCCCCCCCCCCCCCCCCCCAATTCACTTGGTCTGCCTCTCAACACAAAGCCATTTATATCCTTAAGACTCGCTTCATTGCTTTCCTTATAGAGTACAGTGTATTGTATTTATACTAAGGCATCGCTTCATTGCTTTCCTTATAGAGGACAGTGTATTGTATTTATACTAAGGCATCGCTTCATTGCTTTCCTTATAGAGGACAGTGTATTGTATTTATACTAAGGCATCGCTTCATTGCTTTCCTTATAGAGGACAGTGTATTGTATTCATACTAAGGCATCGCTTCATTGCTTTCCTTATAGAGGACAGTGTATTGTATTCATACTAAGGCATCGCTTCATTGCTTTCCTTATAGAGGACACTGTATTGTATTCATACTAAGGCATCGCTTCATTGCTTTCCTTATAGAGGACAGTGTATTGTATTCATACTAAGGCATCGCTTCATTGCTTTCCTTATAGAGGACAGTGTATTGTATTCATACTAAGGCATCGCTTCATTGCTTTCCTTATAGAGGACAGTGTATTGTTATCATACTAAGGCATCGCTTCATTGCTTTCCTTATAGAGGACAGTGTATTGTATTCATACTAAGGCATCGCTTCATTGCTTTCCTTATAGAGGACAGTGTATTGTATTCATACTAAGGCATCGCTTCATTGCTTTCCTTATAGAGGACAGTGTATTGTATTCATACTAAGGCATCGCTTCATTGCTTTCCTTATAGAGGACAGTGTATTGTATTTATACTAAGGCATCGCTTCATTGCTTTCCTTATAGAGGACAGTGTATTGTATTCATACTAAGGCATCGCTTCATTGCTTTCCTTATAGAGTACAGTGTATTGTATTTATACTAAGGCATCGCTTCATTGCTTTCCTTATAGAGTACAGTGTATTGTATTTATACTAAGGCATCGCTTCATTGCTTTCCTTATAGAGGACAGTGTATTGTATTTATACTAAGGCATCGCTTCATTGCTTTCCTTATAGAGGACAGTGTATTGTATTTATACTAAGGCATCGCTTCATTGCTTTCCTTATAGAGGACAGTGTATTGTATTTATACTAAGGCATCGCTTCATTGCTTTCCTTATAGAGTACAGTGTATTGTATTTATACTAAGGCAGCACATAACATAGCTCACCCACAGATTTTCAAGTAATTTAGTTTAAGAAACACGGCGACGTGTCCCTGCAGTTTGCAAATACTGAGCATGTACTTCAAAACTGTGATCTGTGTGCTGCTGAAGGAGAGGCTATCGTGTCCTAGGACGCAATGGAATACACTGCAGAGAGCCAAGAAGAAAGCAGGGCTATGTGACATCACACTCGTTCATACGTCTGATGGTTGCTCCTGTGAAATTCAGCAAGAATGGCTCGCCGTCTGCGGAAAGTGTCGCACGAAGCATGAACTCCGTAGCTCTGGCGACAAAAATTATAAAATTGAGGGCTGAACATTTTTTATATGAACACTGCTACAACAACGACACCTTCTACTACTACTACTATTACTACTACTACTACTGCTACTACTACTACACACACACATACATTGTATACGCTTAGCCCAAGATAAACGCATGCCCAGACTTTGGCTGTACTAGCATTAAGTTGCATCTCGATGCTGTCTCGTTGTGTCATGCCCACATGCAAAGCTACAATGCCATCACATACAGTGTTGATCATTCTATGGCCAGCATAAGTTATACAACTTCAAACTTCGACAGGTCATAGTCAGTCCTAGATGTACAAACATAAGAAGCCGACCAGATCAAACATGGGCAGCCGCGATAGTGCAGAAGATGTATACTTGCATTCCGACCCAAAGATCATTGGATCGAATCCGCATCTGGACGGAAGGTTTTTTTTTTTTTTTTTTTTTTCCATTTTTTTTTTTTTTAACAATTGACCTGGGCTCCTAAAACGAGAATCAGAAAATGTGTTTACAACGGTCCAGGACTGCACTTTACACCTGGCTGGTGTCACCGGTCTAGGCACCCTAACTATGATTTCTTGCCATCCAAATTGAGATTTTTAATCTGAGGAAGATAGATAAACTTTTAGAGATCATCCCTGAGGGAACAGCCTGATCAATCGGCACAGCCATTGACATTTAACTTTCAAACAC